AAATAATAGTAATATATTATATAAACTTTATCTTAATGAGAAACATCAAAATTGTTGAAAACGCTGTACATTAATGACCACCTAAAATATCCTTATGCCTGCTTATATAAGTTAACATCATATAATAAGTTATTTATACGCTGTAAATGATAAATGGGAAGGGGGGGTAAATATAGATGTGATTCTCACTGCCCCCCACCCCCCTTAGCAGAAGGTAAATATATGAGCATGTGGACACAGAAGCAGGTATTATCACTACATTATTCCATTATTCAGCATCTGCTTTGATGGCAACAACAATGTAAAGCCAAAAATATTAGTCACATAGTTATCTTCCACAGTACTACAGCTTTGCTGTGATAAATGAAATGATAAGAAGCCACAGATACACCACAGGATTTGACTCCATGACATGAAACACCACTCCACATTTATACTTTGTTGTATAAAACCGGCAATGTGCCAACAAAAACTTTAGAACAAATTTCACCTCCTTTTTGCCTAAAACTTTTCTACTGCATATACATTTGTCATAATAACAGACAATAATAATAAGCACATACAAGGGCCCTTTAAATAATACAAAATGACTATTTCATTTTAACAAAACAATAGCCAGAATGACCATTTATTTCCTAAGCCACTCCCACTCTGACCAAGCCAAAGGGGCTTGGCCAAGAGTGAGCAACAACTACATAAGAGAGGTGTGAGCCAGGTAGGATATAATTTAGGTGAGCTTTCACATGCTTATGTCTCCACCTTCTACTGCCTGAGGATACTACGTCACTGAACCAGACACAGGAGTACACCTCTGTCTTAACAAGGTACAGCTCGCCTCCTTGTTGTACTCATTTCATTCAGATTCTGACTTTGCTTGTTGTTTTATGCTGTCATGTGGCTGTCCAACATCATCTGATAAATTAGAGAAGGGTGCTTGACAGCTTCTTTCACTTCCCTGTTCATGCTGTGAATTTTGAGCTTTGATTTTGAGTCTCATGAAAGTTTCTCTCTCCAGATTTGTCCCTGAAGTATGTTAGCAGAAATGGAGATGGTGAGCCTGATATTATTTTATTAATTGTATTATTATTTTGGTTATTCTTAATGTTTTTGCTTGTTTGTTATTTGTGTTTGTTTTTTTATATAAAACTGGGTGTTTCAGTAATAGTGTGTTCTAGATTATCTTCTGTAACAGATGTGCATTGTAAAAGGGTATATCTGTAAAGATGGCACCTAAAGCCAACAACACTGTTACTTGAATGTTACCTATGCAGGAGAAAAAGCAAACACTTGCATAAATTTGCCAGTCAAACTGAAATACACAGGGTTACAGTGTTATTACCTGGCTCATTTCCAAAACAAACAGTGGACACACACACAGCTAGGATCAAGTTAAATTCCATGCAGTTCATGCTGCATGTGGACATCAGTGTCTTCTCTTTTGAACAAAACTATTCTAGAACTTTCAATTACAAGAATGATAACTGCTGCTTAACACCATGTAGAAAATGGATGATTCACAGCGAAGTTAAAGCTCATTTAAAACTCCTGCTGATGAGTCCATGCTTCCCAGATCTACAGATCTCTAAGCAAAATTATTCATTGTATGACACCCCTCAGCACCAATAGTGCACCAAAACAAAACAACAATGAGTTGTAATGACAAAAGACAGCAGGTGCGTGATCTTATAATAATAATGCCTCCGGCTATGAGTGACACATGAGTGATAAATGCCACCCATCATGCAAAATCTTCCTTGCTGTCAACATCACAAAACAAATATGCCAAGGTCAAAACCAGAGTGTGTATGGTTTCTGAAAGCCGCTGTCCTGCTCTGTGTCTGTCAGATGACTTACATGACTGAGATCAGGCTGTGTGGAGGTCGGGGGACCTGGAGCGAAGTGGCTCCCTCATCCTGCCCCGAGGTGGATCTGGAGGTCATTGAGGAGTACCTGCAGGAGCATTCACTGGAAGTCCAGCCTGTGCACACACCTGCATCATCTCCAACCACCATGGGGCAACAAATGCACACACATTTCTGCCAGGGCACCAGGATAATAGGTTAGAGGGATGACATTTATAATGAAAAAGATAATGGTGTAAGTGCTTTTGTATTTCTTCATCTGTTATCTGACTTTATCTTTTGCCTATTTCTTCACAGAGAATAGCTGGTCAGGTCAGCATGCATATGAGTGGCATTGTGGCTATCACCACCCTAATGAAGAATATGAATCACATGCCCAACCTGCAGCCTGGCCTAGTCGCCATGACAACCAATGGGTGAGTTCAAGATCCTCTGCCTCTTTGCAAATTAAAGTTTAATTACTTTTTTTTGTAGCCAAATACTACAGTAGATCACTGTGTGTACAGTATGTATGAAATCAGAAATGTAAGTGTTTTATTCATGATTTATGACAATAATTACACCTGTGAATTATTAATGTGTTGTATATGGGTTTGTTTCAGGACCACATTGCATATTCCTATGATGCTCCTGCATACATTGACTCAGACTCCCAGTCCAGTAGCTCCCACTACCAGGAGTACCAAGAGTCATCGTCACCATTGTCTGACAGGGGAAGCAGGGAGGACAGAGATCCCCTGCCTCTTGCCCCACTGTCAGGTATAAACACAAGCACATGCATATTCACAAACACACACACAGACATCTTTACCTCTGCCCCTGGGTATCAACAAATACCAATCTTATATGTATTTAGTGTAAAAACTTCTGCTGTTGGAAAAAAATAACCTGTTCACACACATGAACACATAAATGAATCATTGTCTCCTCATATTTGTATTCACATGCCCTTCCTGCTCACCAGGAAAGAGGAAGGAGCGTTTGTTCCAGTTCCTGTTTGAGATGCTCCATACACCATCAATGCGGAGCTGCATTTGGTGGGTTCAATCCTCTTCTGGCACCTTTCAGTTCTCCTCCCAAAACAAAGAGCGCCTGGCACAGCTTTGGGGCAAACGAAAGGGGAATCGTAAGACCATGACCTACCAGAAGATGGCACGGGCACTGAGGAACTACTCCCGCACTGGTGAGATTCAGAAAGTGAAGAAGAAGCTCACATATCAGTTTGATGAGAAGACGCTGAGAGGCCTTCAAAGAGACACTAATATAGTGTAGAAAGCATGATGCCGACTATATATAAGTACAGAAATAGAGTAAGCACAATGGATATTCAGGGAATGTATTGATGTCCCATACATGTCCTTTCTGCTGATTATACAAATAAATACTGAGTATTTTAAAAGCCGGATGAAACACTGTAGGTAGGTCAGAGCCTTCCCTACGTACAGCATCATATTAGAGTCGGTACATATGATGGACAGACTGGAAGTGAAGCAAACTCTTTGGATAAGTGAAAAGTCACATGGCATTAAAAATGATGTAAATCTAATAGGTTGTCAAGTAATATCTACTTTATAAGTAGAACGTAAATATTTTTAAAGTAAAAGTTTGTTGTTGTTGTTGTTTTGGGGGATTCTCTATTACAGATATTCAAGAGATATAAAACCATCTTGGCAAAATGTAGCTATGATCTGTGTTTAAATATCTTTTTAAGATATAATAAATCTGCAAATATTTTCAGAATACCTGATATATTTTATTCATCTATCTATCTGTATGTCTGTGCATATGTTTATCTATCTATATGAACAAAGATATACTGTGTAGCATCAGTCAGGCAAACACAAACGTACTTATAAACACACACATTGCCAAAACTGTAAGCAAAGTAAATATATGCTGGAAAACAGCCAGTTAAAACAGAACTGTTAATCAGTAACATCTAAAAAGTCCCCTAACACACAAAGTAAAACACACACACACATCATAGAAGAGTATTTGCTTTCTTGTAAAACATTTTAGCAACGTAAATAAATGTCATTTTCATAGTCATAGGATGGTACCGTATGCAAACCAAGTGACACAGGCAAATTACATATAACACCAAATATGCCTTGATTATTCCTGACCCTGCAGGATACATGCAAAAATGAGTTGTGAAAAATAATTATGCACATTAATATTTACATTTACAGCACAGTACAGAATAATTCAAAATGTGTCACATGCAGACATAATACAGAACAAAGAAGCACAACATAAAGTGAACATGACATTTTGATGACGGCCTTGTAGTATTTCTGTTTTGTGCTACCTTATACTTTTGTTCAGAAGGAAATGTCATACCTTTTCTACAGCTGCATTTACATCAACTGTAGTTATGAGTTACCTGGCAAAGTAAGTTTTAAAATATGACCAGATTATAGAATATGATTCACAATTATCGATTAAATGAACCATTAGTAAATAAAGCAAATAAAACTGTTACAACATTAAATTTCTGTTTACATGGTGTGTCAATAATAATTCAGATATATAATTTATATAACCCTTTGAATATGTAACACTTTGTATGGGGCTATTTTGCATAGTAAGCACATTTTTTTTATTATTTGTTTGATGATAATACATCAGTACTAACTTCTTTGACACTGTAGTACAACTATTTTGTTGTGTTACTTTCTTAGTGACTACAAGTAGGTCACCTAAATGTGACATGGCTCATTCAGAATTGCTTTCCCTCACTGCGGAAAGGATTTTTCACTCACTGATAAAATGCACATGGTGTGGCCGTGGAGTGCACGCCTGTTGAAGTACATACACAAGGCATGAGCAGAAAGCAGAAATAGCATTAACAATAAACTCTGCTTTGAAATTCGCTCCACCTGTCCACAGCCTGCAAAGGAGCCTGCTCTGTCAAACATCATAGCTTGTCAGTCTTCCTTGCTGTCCATCTTCAGTGATGGCTGAATGGAGCTGAATATCTTACACAGTACTAGAAGTGCTGATTTCCATAGCCTGTTGCCTTGGTAATGTGCTGGTGGTGTGTGCAGTGTGTGTTGGTGTCCGGGATTCCCTTCAGGAGCCAACCTTCTGCTTCCTGGCCTCCTTGGCGGTAGCTGACTTCCTAGTGGGTGTGGTTGCTGTGTCTCTGGCTGTACTATTGAATGGGTGGGTGAGCCTGACCCCTGACTTGTGCCTGCTGTTGTTTTCTTTTTCCACCCTTTATTTTTGTTTTATCCCTCCTTCTTCGATAAAAAAAAAACCCTGGCTACACAGAAGCACACATGGTTAGGTGTGTCTGTGTGCTAGATGCTTTTCGGTTTGCTGGGGTTTACTCCCATTTGGCTTCAAATTCCAGCAGTACATCTTCCCCGTCCTTCAACTTTCCTCCATGCACCTTCCTGTTAGTGTCACTGCACCCCTGCTGGTCATGACGCTCCTCTATGCTCAAATCTTCTGGAGCTCGCAGGGCCATCTGAAGGAGAACTGTCCTCAAGCCCAGGCCTCTCTGCTCAGAGAAAAGCACCCACCCTGCTCCCTAGCTCTGTTTCTCATTTTATTTGCCAACTATTGGATTTCACTGCACTTGATGAACTGTCTGCTGCTGTTTCATGGTCCTCAAACTGTCACACAGAGGACAATATACACAGGCAGGTGACAGCAGCTTTTCTAGTCCTCACACAGTCACTTATCTTTTTTTGTTTGTTTACATATTCAGACTATTTTGCATAGTGTTACTCATTGTTCTGAATGGTTAATTATAATTGGTGCAGTCACAGGTCACAAAATTTTCCAGTTTTCAAAGCTATCTAACCTGTCTGTCTTAAGGTCTTTTCTTTCCAGGTATTCTCTTGTCTCATGCCAACTCAGCAATCAACCCTGTCACCTATGCCTACCGCATCCCAAAGATTCAGCAGGCCTACAGTCAAAGATGTAGACACTTTTCATAAGGCTAAACTGTTGCCATGGGGAAGAGCAGGTTCATCAGTCAATAACAGTCAGCTGAACCAATCACACAGATACATGTGACCCATAGGGTCATTTTAAGTGAATAAAGTTTGAGTTCATGTGACTTGGTCAAAAAGTTTCTACATGCACAAAAAAATCGATCACTGTGTTTAACAGCAATATAAGGCTGCAGAGACTGTGTAGGCTGAAGAAATGCACGTAGCCAGTAGTGTAGGGTTTGTATGAAATCCTGCATACCCAAGTCCACTTGGCTATCCCCTTGTGTGAAAGTTTTATTCTAGTTAAAGCTTTCTCCTGTGTCTCCACTAGAGGGTACCCTGCACTAACAAACTCAACAGATACTGTTGTACACAAACCACAAAACCATCAGAATGCCATTGTTGATAAACAAACCATTTCAAAACCTCATTCACTGGTATTGGAACAATGGATTTGAGGAAAATATAGCTTTATTGGGATGTACATATATTTAAGCAAGTCACATGACAGGTTCAAATCAATTCAGCCCTAATCCTTTGTAGCACCTAATCATTTTTATAATATATCAAGAATAAATGTGACACTTAACCATTGAGAGGGTGTTGAATATCACTGAATGTTCAGTGAGCTCCTCAAGGAAGGCAATAGACTGTATAGTTATCACCTGAGCAGGGTGCAATCCCACCCACCAAACTATACAACCTACTACCTCACCCTGACAGAGCCCAAATCAAACACACCACACATTCACCTGTTAGGGAGCATGACACCTAATTTACCTGCTCTAGCCAAAAAAAAAATAAAAAATCTTGTTGCAATGAATGATCGACTGCTGGAAGTACATGCTTTGATTAGACAGCATGATCGCCCATCTGGAGATGACAGTCGGTGATGTGCTGATTCAGCTGTTTCCTTGGGAAAGACAGTAGATTGTATAGTTATCTCAAAAAGAGGTTACACAACCCCACAACTATTCAATCTACTACCTCAGCCCCAAGGACAGCACCCATGTTGCTTCAGCATCAAAGATCTTTTCAGGTTATAACTCCTGCAATGGCACAAAGAAAAAGCGACATACAATGTTACCTTAACTTACTAGTCCTTTCAGTAAAATACATGCAAGATAAAACTGACTGCCACTTCATAAGTGTATATTCAGATAACATTCTCAACTGATGTGTGCATTCAGTCCCTATAGAAAAAAAGTGTAGCTGTATTTTCAGTTTTATGTCTGTCTGATTGTTTTGTTTTTTGCTTAAATCAATGCCAGGAAATGGTTTCAAATCACGACTTGCGACAAAAAAAGAAAAAGAATTCTTGTGCTTTATGACAACAAGTCCTCAACTGCCAAGATTTGGAGAAACATATATCAGTCCTTAACAAAAGAAAACCCTCAGAGACTTTGCATATTGGCACATCCTCAATGATCAGCCAAGCATTTTTTTTTTTGTTGCGGAGTTGACTGTCTAAGAAATCTGAACCATTAAAATAAATCAAAGGCAAATAATTTTACGGTAAGCAGACATCGGAAAGTGAGAGCACTAATGTGTGAAACCCCAACAAACAACTCACTGGCTTCCTGAGACTCTGGCATGTGATCGACAGAGAAAAAAAAAGAGCTGCACGACTCTGTGCCAGGAATTCGTTTCCATTTTTGCCAAAAACTGAGCTCAATCCAGTGAGCTATCCCTGTGTAGGCTGGCTGCTGCTTCTCAGACGGAGGTACACACACAGATTCCTGCAAATATGGCTTCCACCAGCTGCCTCTGATTGAATACAAGGCTGGGATTCTGCCCCCCAAAACACAACAAGGAAACACAAAATGGCGTCTCACATATCGGCCATTTTAGGTCTGCTTTAAAAAAAAAAAAACGATAAGGTCTACCTTTCAGGTTTTTGTTTTACCCAAGCCTGCTGTCTCATGATGAAGGAAGACCCCTGCTCTGCTGAGAATGATAGAGAATCAGTCTTGTGCCAAGCACTGAGATGAAGCCAACAGACCCATACGACACACTCTATCTCGGGTACATTTCTTATCAGACAGCTGCAAAGTTCACAGAGAAGAGGCACATACAGCATGTGCCTCTGGTTTTTCTTGTACCTCTAACAGCTCAACTTTGGTTCAATCAAAAATCCAATAGTGCTCTTACTGAAGAAGCAGATAGTATTTTTGGTCTTGTTTATGAATTCCACTGTGAAAGATGTTGCTCATCCTGAAGTCACTAACTGCTAAACTTTTATGGCATAAAGGTTAAGATGGGTCAGCAGGTTAGCATTGCATCAACTGAAGGGTTAACAAGTGTCAGACTAAATGCCAGACCTGGGCCTCAGATAGACAGAGAAGGGGTTAGGAGGTACACTGCCTGCATAAATTAGCATACAGTCACAACCCCTGAGACTCAGTCCAGACCAGCCTGTAGTTAGCATGCAGTAGACCCTACTAGTCTGATTACAGAAGACCAGACAGACAGAAGGGGGTTGGGGTGTGCTGGCATGATGCCCAAACTCTACCACTATGCCAGTGACAGATCTATGTTCTGTTTAGTCGCCAAGAAACGTCCCCTGACTAGAGCTGTATTTGAAGGACGAGGGAACAGACTAATAGTGATATGACAGTGTACTGGGAAATATGGGCTAAATGAATGATCATTTAACAGGACATCTAACCACAGCCTCAAATGAAAAAAGATTTAAACATCAAATGCTTGTGGGGAATTCTGTGCTTCTGGGTTAATTGCAAAAATTGGCATCCCACTTCCTGTGTAACATGACTGTTTTGGTGGAAACACTGAGACTAAACACAGTCAGTCATGTGTGCTCCACTGGATGCAGTTGGCTGTGATCGTGAACTTTGTCTGTAGCACATAAAAGGGACACACATGGCTCATGTGAGGCATTTTCTAGCTGTGAGGAGCTTAAAGAACAGATAAGAAAAGGTAGTGAAGTGGCTTACTGAGCTAATCTCACCTACCTATCGGAAAGTCTGTCCGCATCTGTCAGCAGAATTATGGCTAAATGCTAGTAACTTCAGAGTATTCTGTGTAAGCCAAGAAATACAGACCTTGTCCTCCCCTGCCCTCTGATAATGCTGCTCTGTTGTGACCAACAAGGATAAGTTTTTTCTTGACACAGTTGCCTCCTTTTTTATGCTTTGGAATGTTCATCTTTCTTTGGGTGACAGTTACATGTTTCTTGAGTTTTGTAAAACCTCTTGTCAATTATAGCATGGGATTATTTTTAATCTATTTCATTAATCTTCTAATTATTGTTTTATTCTTAACTTGCTGTGTCTATAAAGCCCATACCTGATTTTGTTTCAAATAGGCATTTTTATAACACAGAAAGGAAGGAAACACCTACAAAACAACGAAGAAGTGTTGTGATGATCAAACTGTACTATATAATTCCTGTTAAAGACATTTTAGAGGACTCACATATTTCAACAACAACACAATGCACAAAAACATGGCAGAGCTGCACAATACCTGATAAACTGGGGTTGTCAGGAAGGTAGTATTCAGTAAACTGCAGATGAACTGCTGGTATGTCATCTGGCAGACCCAGAGCTTTACGATTACAGGACAGTAAAGACTGGGTCTTCTTCTTCTGATGGCCCCTTGTGGACACCTGAATGGTCGAAATATCACTAATGAATAGGGGATTTTATTTTTCATTTACCTTCTTCATTCAAGGTACAAGAGTAAACAAAGCTAAAAAGGTTTTATCACAAAAACAGAAGTCTGGCCATCAATGACTGTCACGAATTGAAGGTGAAGACCCAGATGTACAGAATTTCCCCTGGGTGTCTCTAGATTTGTGAAAATAGGAATTGAAATAACCCTGGCACTGTTGTGTTCTTTTATGGTGAGGTGTGTGAAATGTCCCAAGAGAAAATGCAAAACCAGCCTAATTTGAAGTGGTAGGGGAATTCTCAGTATCAAATGAAAGGCACCAGAGCAGCCAAGTGAAGTGACAGATCTGATATATCAGATCAGCCGTTTGATAAAACACATCCAATGGCTGATGTGAGAGTAAGTTTCATTCGTAAGGCCTGTCAGACCGATGTCTCTAAGGCTGATAATTTGACATGCCTTTTTCATGAAGCTAATGTTCTGTAAAAAAAAAAACACTTATCACTGCCTAAATTCTTCAGATGTTCAGGTGACTTCTAGCCTTGTCAGAGGTAGTGGCTGACTGTGTGCACTGAGGGATAGAAGTCCATCCATGTGTAAAGCATCTGTTGGAGCAGGTAAATCAAATCAGCAGATGATAAAAGCTTGCCTGGTGAATGTCCACGTCATCCATCCTGACCACTACACAGCTAGATCTCAGCCTCTTCAGCGATGAGTCTGCAGAAGTTGTCACAGTGGTCCTGCTGCTTGACTGCTCTTTGTCACAGGAGTTTAACTTGGGACTACACTGTCCATCTGCAGTGTGTGCAGAAGAGAGTACACACTTAGTGACTAGATCAACTTTCTTCCACAAAAGCAAGAGCACTGATGTTCAAAATGATTTTTTACAGATTAGGATTTGGCCTTTCTAATCTCAAAAATGTTATCGTTACTGAGCCCTAGGTCAGTTTTTTTGCCTTTATTATTACAATTGTGTAACATTTTGTTATGGTGACGGAGAAGTAATCATGTTTTTTAATTTGTTTTTTGTGTGTTGTTTATTGCATCTCAGTTGTTTATCTGGCTGAGTGTGTAACACAATCCCAACATGAGGCCCTCTTACTAGCTTTCAATCGTGGCACACGCTCTTCATCGGCAGATGGAGTTTGCTTGGTTGTCACAAAGATGCATTTGTTAACATGCAAGTCGTTTTAGCATTTTCAAGACTTCTCACTCATGTTGTCCCAAAAGTTAAACATGCCAACAGATTGAACTGTTTAAAACACCACTGTTTCTTATATTAAGAATGACTGCATCTTAATATTTCAGTCCATGTTCAGCGGTGAGGACAGACAACACATTTCTATAAAATGACAAATCTTTATGTTGATTCTGCACTCCCACCTTTAACTGCCTTTGCAGGGGAGTCCTTTGTTGGCTGGCGGACCTCAGTATGTGGCCCTGGGAACCCAGAGGCCTCTGCTCTCCTCTGGTACTCCTGCAGCAGTTTCCCAGCCCACTGGGCCTGAGCCTCCATGGCTACACTGTGGCGCTCCCAGTGTCGGCACCCATCAGCTGTATTACAGCATCAAAGGGCAGTCATGACTGAGCAATCAATCTAGACATAAAACTAATTTAGAAATTACAATAGTTGTTATAATTGCTGTGACTGTGAATAATTACAAATACAATTTGGGATAAAAGATTAAAAATGAACAACAAAAATGACAAAACTTCAGAAAAAAAATAAATCAACAAAGCATTAAGATTGACTGTGGAAAAAACCTGGGGGCTGGTCTAGCCTTAAAATAAATTCAAAACCAGGTGACAACAAATAAATCCATAATATAATTCACTGTAAATTCTTAAGAGGCCTTTCCTTTCTCCTTATGGACTACAGCTAGCCCTGAATGAATGCTGTGCTTTCAGTGGGAGCAGGACAATGCCTCTGGGCAAACTGCAGTTAAACTGTGGTTGCAGAAAAGAACCAGTCATCACGCTCACCAGGTCTGTGGACAGGGTAGTAGTCAAACCCCAGCTTCCTGAAGGTCAGCTGCATGGCACCTTGTAAACCCGGCGGGGGAGGCTCATCCATGGAATATCATATTATAGCTGTTTAAAAACCATCTTCACAGTATTTATCCATCAAATACTCTGTAATTCAGTATATTAATGTCAACACTGGCTTTATACAGAATAGTTTAGTATAGTATAGTTTAGATCACTAAAAAAAAAAAAACGATAAGGTCTACCTTTCAGGTTTTTGTTTTACCCAAGCCTGCTGTCTCATGATGAAGGAAGACCCCTGCTCTGCTGAGAATGATAGAGAATCAGTCTTGTGCCAAGCACTGAGATGAAGCCAACAGACCCATACGACACACTCTATCTCGGGTACATTTCTTATCAGACAGCTGCAAAGTTCACAGAGAAGAGGCACATACAGCATGTGCCTCTGGTTTTTCTTGTACCTCTAACAGCTCAACTTTGGTTCAATCAAAAATCCAATAGTGCTCTTACTGAAGAAGCAGATAGTATTTTTGGTCTTGTTTATGAATTCCACTGTGAAAGATGTTGCTCATCCTGAAGTCACTAACTGCTAAACTTTTATGGCATAAAGGTTAAGATGGGTCAGCAGGTTAGCATTGCATCAACTGAAGGGTTAACAAGTGTCAGACTAAATGCCAGACCTGGGCCTCAGATAGACAGAGAAGGGGTTAGGAGGTACACTGCCTGCATAAATTAGCATACAGTCACAACCCCTGAGACTCAGTCCAGACCAGCCTGTAGTTAGCATGCAGTAGACCCTACTAGTCTGATTACAGAAGACCAGACAGACAGAAGGGGGTTGGGGTGTGCTGGCATGATGCCCAAACTCTACCACTATGCCAGTGACAGATCTATGTTCTGTTTAGTCGCCAAGAAACGTCCCCTGACTAGAGCTGTATTTGAAGGACGAGGGAACAGACTAATAGTGATATGACAGTGTACTGGGAAATATGGGCTAAATGAATGATCATTTAACAGGACATCTAACCACAGCCTCAAATGAAAAAAGATTTAAACATCAAATGCTTGTGGGGAATTCTGTGCTTCTGGGTTAATTGCAAAAATTGGCATCCCACTTCCTGTGTAACATGACTGTTTTGGTGGAAACACTGAGACTAAACACAGTCAGTCATGTGTGCTCCACTGGATGCAGTTGGCTGTGATCGTGAACTTTGTCTGTAGCACATAAAAGGGACACACATGGCTCATGTGAGGCATTTTCTAGCTGTGAGGAGCTTAAAGAACAGATAAGAAAAGGTAGTGAAGTGGCTTACTGAGCTAATCTCACCTACCTATCGGAAAGTCTGTCCGCATCTGTCAGCAGAATTATGGCTAAATGCTAGTAACTTCAGAGTATTCTGTGTAAGCCAAGAAATACAGACCTTGTCCTCCCCTGCCCTCTGATAATGCTGCTCTGTTGTGACCAACAAGGATAAGTTTTTTCTTGACACAGTTGCCTCCTTTTTTATGCTTTGGAATGTTCATCTTTCTTTGGGTGACAGTTACATGTTTCTTGAGTTTTGTAAAACCTCTTGTCAATTATAGCATGGGATTATTTTTAATCTATTTCATTAATCTTCTAATTATTGTTTTATTCTTAACTTGCTGTGTCTATAAAGCCCATACCTGATTTTGTTTCAAATAGGCATTTTTATAACACAGAAAGGAAGGAAACACCTACAAAACAACGAAGAAGTGTTGTGATGATCAAACTGTACTATTCCCTTGTGTGGATTAATTTGAAAGAATAAAATCAAAACAGCTGCTAAACTGAATTACTACTCTTTATTATATACGTTTCAACATCAACCTGAATCTGCTGTACTATTAAAACCTGCCTGGAATAAAAAAAAAAGAGAGAAAAACCTGATCACACTGCATCATTTTTAACTAATAAAATGCATTGCGAAAATAAATTTTGAAAAGATCGTGGAAAAAATAGGCCTTAGCTTCCTCTTCTCCAACGCGAAAGGATGCAGGATTCATCAGATTTATTCCTCATACATTGCAATCGGCGTAAACCCAAGTTCATTAGCAAATCCCCAAACGGATGCAGCACACTCAGATGCCAGCAAAACTCCTCAGAATTGGAGCAGATTTTTGCAGGAAGCAGAGGCAGGGAAATACCTATTAGATTTCCTGGTCCCTTGGTCCACGAGACGGGATGAATGCTTGGCACAGACGGAGGGGGTACCAGACGATTGGTACAGGTTCTTGTGTGTTTCTCTCTCTGTCTGAGCTTTGTGCCAAGAATGGGCAGTGTCTGCGTGCCAGGCAGAATTTCAATAAGGGAGGAAGGAGGTGGTGAGGGTGGGCAAAGAGGAGGAGCAGCGGGGAGCTGGAGTTGGCACAGGAAGTATGCCACATAGTAAATGGCAAGATGAAGAATTCCCACAGTTGACACGAACAAATGTCTTGTCTCACTAGTGTCTAGACCTTTCTCCATCCATCTAAGAAATAGGGATGATCCTCAAGAGAGCACTGTGATTATTTTATGGTACCTGCTTTTTCATCTTCCCCACTCCCTAAAGGATCCATGATTTCTACATTACAAGACAAAGGATGGGAGCACTGAGCTTTATCCACGCCTGCTTGGCATGGTGCCCATTCTGATGTTTTGTATATCTTAATTAACCAGGCACAACCACACACAGCTTATGCTTACATGTCTGCATGTATAGAGAAATTAACTGCCATGTACACGTTCTTACACACAAGCACACACTGGCAGACTCAACACAGTGCAACTGCTTGACCTGGGTAGAACATCAGCCTATTATATCCTGATTTACTGAATGGTAAATGAAGCTACTTCCAGTCTTATGCCATCAACTTCTCTGTTTTGTGAGACAGAGGGCTGCATATATACAAATGTTAGTGTCACAGGGATAGGAACTAGGTAAACACGTTGGGCAACATGTCTGATGTACAGACAGCATGACCAAGATAAGACAGGAATGTAAGGGAGCCATTGTATTGACTGTCATACTCTCTAATAACCATTTCAACCATAGACGCTCACAGAAGTAGAGCAAAGTTGAAAAATCTGTAATAGAAAAGGTGGTGGAGCACACACTAATTTCACGTTTATGAATCCCGTTTTTAGATTTATACTATTCACACATCTCAGGTTAGTGTGACCTAACACTGGCAATGCTTGTATAAAAAATGTATGCATATTGATTTCTTCAAAAGAATCAGAGATTTTAGCTGATAAAAAGGAATAAAGAAACAATCACTGAATTGCTGGTGTATTACCGATACTGTCCAACTACACAGATGTCCAGCGATCTGAATGAAGATAATATACTACATCAAAGGTGTCGATCCTCCTCTTCATCTACTCTGTCCCATCTCTTCTCCACTTGTCTATGGTTTTGCTGATATGCTGATGAGATGTTTGGTTACCATGGTTTCAAATGTTTCTGATAGCTCAGATGCCTGGCCTGGCAAGTTGCTACACGCCCACGTTATAGCATTCACTAATGCCACACAGAGCGGGCCATACACACTTATGTACATGCACACACATACAGCATATAAACACAAACACTTAGAAAGGTATGGCCTTTTTTAAGAGGATGTGCGTGCATAATTGTCTGCATATATATACAAAGACCATGCGTGCAAGAGTGCAAAGGGGGTGTATTTTAGGACGAAACAGCTGCAGCTTCCTGCATGAGAAGAGAAACTTCCTGTTGCTTCGCTGCAAACCGCGGCCGGTCAGCCAAGATATCAGCCAATCAGCTATGTTGAGGCTGAATGCAGGAAGTTAGCCTGACTGCCTCTAGGAGAAAAACTCATAAACATCATGAGGCAACATGATAAGTTCATCTGAGGATAAGGGAGGGGCGGGGACAGAGCTCTCCCACTCCTACCTCTCCTCCTGTCTATGTAACCCTTGTTCTCTCTATTTTTCTACTACTTCTCTTTCTTAACATAACCCCACCACTGTCATGTCGATATCCATAAAAAGGGGCGCTTTTCCTTTTTTTATGAAGTAATTTACTATTCAGTGGCAAAGATTTGAAATATAACAGTCTAATGCAGAGAAATGTGGAGTAGTTTGACCGTGATTCGTGTGGGGTTAGCCCAAATTCACTGTTTCTTAAACACGTGGCACTAAGGCGCCATCTTATAATCAATCTCAGTCTAGATCAGAATACAGTAGTGACAATAAGCAGCCCAGTTACATTCATAATTGTACATAAAATATGCCGATATTTCATAGAATTCACTCGGTATCAAACTGCCCTCTAAAAATAGGATGAGCGCTTGAACCAGCTGTTGATTAATGTACGTTCTGTTTTGTTTAATTCAGAGAGTGGAACCCTGATATTTTGTTTTAATTTTATGGTATTCTAGTGTCTGACATGTGACTGTAATAAAAAAGAAATGCAGTAAAATAAATAACGTGCTTGTTTTCTTGCTGTGGCCTAAGATACACATCAATCAGATAAATGCTCCCATGTATTTAAGGCAGTCACACTAGCAGTCTTTCGTCTGTTTGGCTGACCTAACACGGTTTCAATTCTGCCTGAGTTTCCTCCTGAAGTGTAAAGTATCATCAGTAGCCTATGGCGCAGTGTAAGTCAAGACAAACATTACTGTTGTCACCTTTTAACAAACAGCCACACCTCTAATTCACAGAATGATATAACATGCGGAAACATACGTTCCTGTGAAACAACTGCTATGTATCTGAGTTTCATAGTGGTAAAAAGTGCAAACATTATGTGAAGAGAATAAGAAACACAGTAAAAATTGTCTGGTTATTACTGTACCTATCATTACTGCTCTGAGACCTGACAAGCGACTCAAAACTGGTCTGTAACTAAACTTATACTGAACCTGAACACAACAACAGCTCTCTGGCTCAGCTAATCAACAGAGATCAGAAAGTAACTGAGAAGGCCTGGCCTTCTTCCTGCCAGTCTACAAAGAAACACCTGTTCAATACGGAAAGCCACAGAAAAGGCTGTTTACCACCCTGTCAGAGGCTCATGTGCTAGAGTAAAGAGGGGAGAGGAAGAGGGCGGCAAAGAAAGACAGAAAGAGATTAAGGAAGCAAGAGAAGGAAGATGGTCAGCAGGGAGTTGTGGAGTCCCTGTGAGCTCTAGAAAAGTTTCTCCTGTTATGTCCATCGAGCCAAAATGGCGGCGAGCGGAGTGCGGCGTGGCAATCGATGATGATAGGCACGTTTACAGGAGGAAGACCATGATGAAGGACAAAGAAGACAACGCGATAAACTGGAGGAGAAAGATTACAGTTAAAAAAGATGGGAAGAGGTGTCGCAGGATAAAAAAGAAAAATACCTGGAGCCTCTATGTGAGCAGCGGGCTGGGCCGAAGGACTGGAGGAGAAGAGGCTCGTGATGGCGGGAAGAAGGGAAAAGAGAGGAGTAGAGCACACCCTCTAGGAGCTACACCCCCTTCCCACAATCCCCTCCTACTGGCGTGAGTGCGTCCATCCGTATACAGGGTGACAGAGGGACGTCTGCTCACACACAACTCTATAACACACACACAAAACACACACAAGCCACAGTATCAAACAGGGTGCACAGCAAAAAAGAAAAAAGCTCTAAAACTGACTCACAGCAGAAATGCATTACTTTCAGCTGCCTATGAAAGCAACAGAGGCAAACGAGCGAACACAGAGACACAGGACAGTTCAAAACACAAACATACACATAATCAATTCGCCAGCCTTTGGATCGCCCTCTGCTTTGCCCTGCGCTGTGTTTGCCTCGGTCCGCCTGCCCTCTTTGGCACTGCTGCCAAAGAGGGAAGAAGAAAAAAAGGAGGGGAGGACGGGGGTGTAGAGACAGAAAGAGGAAGGGAGGGACATGCTGTAGCAAGAGAGGGAACAGACAGAGGAGGAGTCAGAAAAAAAGAGTTAAGACAGAATGAGACAGAAAGACAAGAAAAAGAAAGAAAAGAAGCATGAACTGTCGTGAGCAGAGACGGTGACACAAAACAGCTCAACAGCAGCTGTGAGCGTGCCGAGAATGTGTTAATCATCTAACATCTAAAACACACCTCTCACCTTGTGCTGCACATATACTGTCCTGCAACAGCAGACAGATGGCGAAAGAGACAAGCACATCCCAGCACTATTGCCATACTGTTACATGTCACGTTATTACAATCAGTAGATCATAAAACCTAACCTGGCTTAAGATACAAACTCTGAACTGTTGGATATTTGTTGTCAAGTCCTCTTGCCTGAAATGGAGTCCTGGGAGACTTACTGTCATTCTCGACATCTTTATTCTGCCTGCTTTTCTCGGCATCTGCCTCCATCCTTCCCTCAGTTCGTCCTCTCTCTCTATCGGGGGTAATATCAGCCCCCCTAAATGGGAGTGGTTTGAGGGAGTTCAGCTAAATGAATCAATGAGCGAGGAGGGTGGATATTTCACAAAATGTCACTTTTTTTCCCCCCAGCCGTTGGCATCTTTCCCAGGTCTCCCTTTGCTTTCTCACACCACCAAGAGAGTTGAACACCAGTGTGGGCTGTCGCCTCTCGATGACCTCAGTCATTAGTAGAGAAAACATTAATCCATCTGTTCGTAGATGGCCAGCCTTCTCTGTAGACAGCTTGTGAACCAATCACTGGCATTTGAGCGGGTATCCCAAGCAGAGCCAACCAATCAGAGGTCACCTATGAGCTGACATCATTTTGAAAAAGCTGAGGTTAATTCTAAAAAAAAAGAGACAAATACTTTTTACCACCACATTACAAAAATATACTGTTTTTCATCTTTCAAAACTTATATCAACCTTTTGACATGACAAAAAACAAAGGTTGCTTTGTCTTTTGAGAGTGAAACAGTTAATTCCTTGTTGCAGCTGCTGTAATAGCAGAGTTATACAGTTGTTAAACCGACCAAAATCACACTTACACACACATATTTCTCTCAGTCCTTAAAACACTCACAAAAGACACAAAACAGACCACAGTAGTGGGTCTCTGCTTAACCTCCACATGAGTCTTTTCTCAAAGATAGGACAATGGGGACACACACACACATATTCATACTGTACACAGGCACACACAGACACGTGTGGTGTGGAGTGAACAATCCGGTTCTTCCATGAAGGCTCAGATTCAGCCAGAGGTTGGACAGCCCCTCGACCTGACGTCACGTCTCCTTTGTTGTTTATGAATTTATTTCTCTCCTCAGCTGAACTCTCTGAACCCAAAACCCCCTCTCACTACCCTCCCTCCTCCCCTGTCCTGTCCTCCAGCCCTGCACTTACCCCCTGCCAACAAAGGCGAGCAAATACAGTCTGGCTTTAACAAGGAATAAGAAAACAAAGAGAGATACACAGACATAGAAAGGAGAGAGAAAGAGAGAGGGAAAGAAAGAAAGAAGCTCAGATGGTTCTCTCACTTTTTCTTTTCTTCCTTGACTTCTTTAATCGCTCCCTGCATCTCTTCCTGCTCGGCTTGTAAAAGTTTCAGCTGCATGGTGGCCCAGCCTCTTTTGGCAGCCGTTCAACTCTTGGCTCTCCTGTCCCCTTGCAAGGGGGAGAGAGAGAGGGGAGGACAAATATAGTCACAGCTAGACTGTACTGTACAGTTATAGAGGCAGGTGGACTCAGAATGCACAGCCACCACTTTTATCTAACCCACCCAGGAAGACAGCAGTTTGTAGCTTTCCTACAGCGTTTATGAGGTTCATTTAAGCACTATAATATAATCATCTGTAACACATATGCAGATCATTAAATACAGTGCAGAGCTGGAAAAGGCTGTGCCACAGTTGTGATGTTAGTCTGCCTTTAACTGAGTGTGACAGCTGAATCTGATAACAGTGTGGTAGGGTGCTCACACCCAGTTCACACAGGGACACACACTTTGTTCGTTCACAACACACTCATTTGCTTGCTTACGCAGACATATTTACACATGCACAAAACATTAAATGTTGACAAAACATAAGCCTTTTGTTTCATCACATAGATACCATATGCACACATGCACATGAAGACAGGTGTTACTGATTTACTCACCTCACCTCAGGCCACACGATTTTCATACTGTATTGCTGAGGTGCTTACTCAAAAAGTATCCCAATCTATACTTTCCCTAGGCAGTATTTTAAATATACTCATTATGCGCTGTTAATTAGCCTAATTAAAAGACTAATTACAGCATTAACCTTTAAGTGACTACATAATTAATTAGGCTTTATTTCATAGTGTCTTCTTACTGTTACATGAAGTAACCTTGAAACAAAGCACACCTCCACTGCTCATCCAAAAATATATGTACAAACTTTTTTCTTATCATGTCATTATTGTTGTAAACGGTTCGTTAATAATAGCCTAATTCCACATGCACACAACATTTGTCCAACCCAATACTGTAAACTAAAATGCTGTCAAGGCCTTACTCCGTTGAAGTAGCAGAATGACTCAAAATGCAACAGTAGGTTATATGGGCTAACGCATTTCGGTGGATCAGAAACTAAACTAGAATTTAGGCATGTACACGGTTCAGTATTAATAATATTGTCAGTGAAGTCCTATAACGTTATTTTAGGTGCACTGTTATTAATTAAAGCTTCAAAAGACAAAGACCACACTTTCAACAATATAGCTCTTTATTACTGCCAAAAAATGATGAGCTGCTGTTGTTTTGCCGCAAATAACGTTTTGTTTCGGTGATTAAAAACCTTTAGGTTGCTTCTTGTAATGGATAAAGTTGGTATTTGTTTGCAGAACAAGAAAAACTACCTCGCACTTTGGCAAACATAAATGATTTGGACAACTTAAGGCCTGTTCACTGAATGATTTCAGCGTCCTGACGCAGAATAATCAAAAGCTGACAAATGATCTTCTCTAAATGATGTGCAGGCCTTTCTAGTAGTGTTACTGTAAAAGCAACTATAGCTTGCCGAGTTTGAAGAATTTCACTAGATATTAATCAACTTCGGATTAATGTTTGAACGTTTCCAAATGTAAACTCTCTAAATTAGACCAACAGTGTAAAATAAACGGTGTCAAATCATACATTAGTGCTACAGTGTCTGCTCACCTGGCTGATTCGCTGTGGCACTGGCGGAACAAAGCGCGCGTTACGTACGTCAGTATGTGGAAATATCTATAGGCCTGTTACTTGTTTGTTTGAACCTGGTGACAACTGTATCCATACGGCCCCTTAGCTCGTTTCAGTTTAACATGAACTTGCTCTCACACTGGCAGGTTACCATGTGGACTTAGGCAGTGCCTCCTTCGCTTTGTCTCATAGACAGAAACTATCCAGCATTAAGTTTGAGATTGTACTGGTCACCAGGATAACTGGGTCTGGGCCTAACTGAAAGCAGGCTAATTGTAAAGGCTGGTCTTCTGTCAGACACTAAGTTAATTTACTGTGGTTGGGCGCTGATAAATTCCAACTTTATCAGCACCCAACTTTTGCTACAAGCAAAAAAGGACATTTTTTGCTTGTAGCACTACGTGTTTCGGGATATAGCCTAAATCACTGTCTGACAAAGAGTTTATAAGCTGTGAGTGTTTATTAAATCGTTTCGTCTACTAATGCTAGAACCGTTAGGTTGTGTCTAGAGAAGCCTACAATTGAACAAATAGATCGTCTGCTCTTAAGCGCGCAAAGTTCACGGTTATTCGGCTGCCACTGGTTGAACTGGTTCATCTTGCAGTTTTAACTTTATAAAGACCAGACGTCCCATCTAGTGGCAAACCTGTGTCAATGCAGTTTGTGAGCTGAAAATAGGATGCATGAGGAAATGTCCCACCTGTCTGGAGTGTACTACTCTCATAGTATTCCCTCTGATTTTCGGTGTGAATTGCACTTGTATCAGAAAACGTTATAGGCCTATTTGAGCTACAGAACTATTTTGCACTGACAAAGATAACTATCGACTAGGTAGGCATATACATAGCCTTATTTATCGTTCCCTCTGCATAAATGACTCTCAGCTCCATTGGATTTATTAAGACAAGGCACCATTTGAATTGCTTAACAACATTTACAACCGCAGACCAATTGTGGTATAACCATTTAGTAACTTGTTCAGTGTTTGTCTAGCTGTTGATACACATGCAGAAATTACAATAGTACAACTGTAGAGCGAATAGTACAGTCTGTGTTGTAGGAGCTGTTTTTATTACACTTTTTAAAGTGAAATAATTTTCACTGCCATTGTTTGAATAAAGACTCTTGCATCAGAGGTGCCTTATTTCAGTAAACTGTTTCAGTAATAACATCACTGTGTTTTTCTATTTAGTAATAATGTAGCGATTAATTCTGGTAAACCATTAATCTCACACTGAAGTCTGCATTTTAAAATGTTAATAAGACATTAATATGGATTCTTGAGTTTCTCAGTAAGATGTTTATAGATGGATCTTGTTCCAGGTTTCCTGGAATCCTTTTCCAGAAAATAGGTGGACAAACAATCCTTTGGATGAGTCTCGCTAATAAATTAAAAAGACAACTGAAAAGGTAAGCAAAGTGTTACACAGATGGAGGCTCTTTCATAAAATTAATTATGGCATATAGCTTTTTATAAATGGTATCAGAAAGTGGTACCATTTTATTTAAATATGGCCCATTAAACGGAGAACATATGAGATGAAAACAGTTGTCCATGCAGGAGGTAAATACATCATGTAAATCACCACTCAGGAGACTGAATATAATCATCTTGAGAATCTGCCCTCCACCCAGTTTCTGAGTGAGTGAGACACAGAAAGCACCGAAGGATAAGAGAGATAAATTGGGGTTTATTCCCCATTTATTTTCCAGGAAATGAGAAAAAGGTGGTAGGGGACCTCTTCAAAATTCAGAGCTCAAGATGTATTGTAGCCACTATTTCTGATCCATTTTTTCTCTCCATGCACTTTTAAGTATTTCTAAAAGCTGAAAAAACCTGCATCTACCTGATCTCCATCGATGCCACAGACCTCACTGGAGAAAGGAAAGGAACGATCTTTTAATAGACAGGTTCCGATACAACCATTTTTATTGGACTGACTGAAGTTAGGTAATCTGTCATCCCCTGTATTTTACTCTTGGGCAATTTTAGTTTGGTTGTTTACCCTTGTCTAACTAAAAGATAAAGTAGCTCTTTGCATTCTGAGCATCTTTCATAAAATTGCAGGACTGGTCAAACCAAACCAAATAAATAATAAATAAAGCTTGCTTGCTAATTGTAAATGTGATCCATTTTTTTATCAAACAATGCCATGTCAGCTAAGGCCTATAGTCTATTGAAATATCCATGACTGGGGTAATTCTGCTCCCCAGTGGCTACATGCAAGGATGACATCAACCCAATAGGATGTCGAGGAGTTGACATTTTTCCGCTCCTGCCTGCTCTTGTTCTTCTTTCTATTTCAAACCAGTCCTGTGGTTTTTGTCATTGTCAGTCTTGTCCCAGTCTGTTACTTTTATACCCAATTATACTTCAATCATCAATCAATTCAGAATGTTAAAGAGCCCAGAAATGTGCAGATATAAAAAGCTAATCAAACACTGGAGTGACAGAGTCCTGCAGGATTCCAGTTCAGATGTCAGCCTTTGATATTACACAGGAGATAATTCTCAGCAGTTGAGCGGCATGTTAGCATTAAACGCTCTTTGTCAGTCATTTGTGACATTTTGTCAAGAGGCTATTACATTTCCTTTTTACAATAGAATTGCCGTGGTGTTGGCTGCATAAGCATGGCCCTCTCACTTTGTTAGCATAGGGCATTAACCAGATTCATAAATAATTTACTTAGACTCTCAGTGTAATTTCCTACTGAGTACTTCAAACAGTGGTGTATAACCATTCATAAACACCAGGGTTTAAAAACATATTCCATGTATATTTTTATTGATCCATTAAATAGAGTACTATTTTAAAATGGTGAGAAAGTACTAGGTGTGTTTGGTTTATTACAGACCCTATGAAAAGAAAAAGTGTGGAGGTTTTAATTAATCCACAGGCGTGGGTGGACTGTGTAAATCATATGATTGATAGTCGCATTAAAAATCATTTGATATTCCTTGTAAACCTCAGTGGAACGTGTTTATGCCTGCGTGTGAATGTTTGCACATTTACCCCACGTCTCAACCAGTGTCAACTGGGATTAGCTCCAGGCCCCCTCAACCCTTGTTAGGATAAACGCTATAGATAATGGATGGATGGATGGATATTAACTTTGTACACAACCCTCAAGCAAAAATGTGCTGAATACAAACCACATGCCTCCAATTCTCTCTGCATTATGTACAGTCTTCAATGTTAGATTAATGGGACCCAGATTTTCTGTGTTGTACTGTAATAAGAAGAAGCACACTAGTTTAGGAATATGCAACATCTGAGTATCAAAATTAAATGCTGGTTATAGGTTCTTATAGATTTTAACAGTTCTTAAAGATGTGGCCTCAAGTAGCAGCAATAGAGAACAACCAACATAACACCATAAGAACAGACACATAAGAACAGAACTTCATAAAAACACGGAAAAGAACACAACAAGGACACAGCTGCTGTAACTTGCTGCCACTCCGCGCGGCGCATGCGTACATAAGTACGTAGTAACAAAGAACACTTAGTCTTAAAATAAAAAGTTACATAAAGGCAACAAAGCATTAGGACTGATACACACAAGGATTATAAAAGTAGCATAATCAGAACGTTACATTTTACACAGCACAAATAAGCAAATCAAAGGCACCTAAAAACAGGGCAGAGCAGCACTGGAGAGAATCAGGAACAGCAGTAGAGACTAAACAACCAGGAAATCAAGAACAATTGAATATTACTCACACAGTTAATCCCACAATGGGGGAAAGAAACCTATGCTTCAGCCATAAGGATCTCTGAGCAACAACTCAAAAAAACCTAAAGCAGGGCAATGGACAGTATTTGAGAGAGCTCAGGAACAAGATATTACACATTAGCCTATTTACAATGCATTTCACCCCAAGGAGCTGAAATATTACACCACAGTAGATTATTGCACAGTCCCTCATAATTTCACCTATCTTATCACTGGAGTGGTGTGTTGTACAGTCTGATTGCTGTGGGGAGGAATGACCTGTGGTAACGCTCCTTCTTACACTGGGGATGTAACAGTCTCGTGCTAAAAGAACTGTTCAGAGTCACCACCGTGTGGTGCAGGGGATGGGAGGGGTTATGGATGTTAGTTTGGCCAGCATCCTTCTGTCCACCACCTCCTCGATGGAATCCAGAGAGCAGTCCAGGACAGAACCAGCTCTCTTAACCAGCTTGTTGAGTCTCTTTCTGCTACCTCCTGCCTAACCCACAACAGCGTAAAAACCTGCAGATGCCACCACAGAATCATAAAATGTCCGAAGGAGTGCCCCACGCACACCATTGGCTTATTCCCTATATACGTATGATAATAAACTCCCAATATTTCATCTTAGACTGTTGGTCAGACAAAAATAAACATATGAAGACATGATCTTGACCTTTGGGGAACTCTTATGGAATTTTTAAAAACAGTTTTGAAATGATGAAAGTAATTGATACTTGCTTTTCCCAGGTTTCTTGTGTGTAAATTGCTTTGAAATGATTTGATAAAACACAACTGTAATTAGAAATATATATATACACAAGAACACAATAAAAATATAATAATAACAGTCTTAAAACAAACAAAAAAAATTACAATAAAATTTTGGGGCCACAAGATTTGACAGTGAAGGCCTATCTTAGCTGGCACTGCCCTTTAGTGGTTCAGATACAGAAGGACCTGAAGCTAGTATGAGGCTTCAAAGCTGTGCAATTAGACAAATCAAGTTGATATTGTCCAAAATGCCTTTTTGGTACAAAATTCCCTCTTTGTGTTACTATTACTCCACCACAGCTTAACAAGAAAGACTTCCCAGGGAAACACAATATTTATACAAAACAAAGGCTGTATCCTTAGAGCACATCCACTTGATTTCTTTAACTCCGACTCATATTAACTTCATATACTGTGGAAAATATTTTTACACTGAACAAGGATTTTGTCCCCCATCCCTTAGAGTACCCTGAACGTCCACTGGGGAGGAACCTTTTAATGACCTGTGTGGATAATGGGAATAAGTCCTGCAAGCAAATTCTGTTGCACTGATCAAATGGGCACCTGGTTTTTGTTTTAAGCCACCTTTCATATCACTAGCATTCTGGTTCTAATGATATTTTTGCAGTAGCAGAAATAATCCTCAACTCTAGGTGCACACTAGTCTATCTAGCCTGTATAGTATCATAAACACTAGTGCCTTTCCTCTGTCCCCATACTCTCCCAGCAGGCGTTTGATGTTTGGGAGGAGTTTACGTTGGGAGCCACAAAACTTGCGTGCGTGCGTGTTTCGACGCCACGCCTCTGTGCGTTTTCCTCCGCGCGTTGATTTCATACTTGGCATTCCGCCTTTTTCTGTGAAACGTTATTATTTTTGCCGAGGAAGTACTCTTCATTCAGAAAGGGAGACTGTTGTAGAAGAAAAAAAACATAGAAGGAGAGAAGCTCGTGCCTGTAGGAGCGAAGCAGGAAGCCACTGTTAGGTGAGTGCGCTCTCACATAGTTCTTTGTTGTGTGCAGCAACTTTCATGCAGCTTCGCTTCGTGTGTGCTTGAAGTTTTGGGATATTTGACATATTCCGCATTTTTCCGCTGTATCTTCGCTGAATCAGGGACTCGTGTGTTTAACGGGGAGTTCTCATTTTGTTTACTCAGCCACTCCCGTTGTTATTCAAATGACTTTTTAGGCGTCACTTGGACGTAGTTTGGAGTTTGTTGGGGGTATTATTAGCCTGCAAGCTAACCCACTAGCATGTGTGCGTTAGCAGTGGCTTGTTTGGAATATAGCCACCGGAAGATAGAAAATAACTTTACTCCTTACACTTTGACTCTTTCTAAAGCGCTTAACGTCTGTTTGGCTCGGTTAGATGGAAGTTTTTTCGTATTTGGGGTCAGAGGCAGATTGTGCCAACTCACACTTGGCCGACTCACATGAATGTGATTTCGTTTTGCACATGCTAGCAGTGAGATTCATTTCGTGTTATTGTGAAAGTTTCCACCAACAGGTGAGTCTGGTCTGACGGTTTCAGCAGAGTCAGAGGAGAAATAGCACCGTCGTTCGTCTTAAACACAAGCCTATTGACTGACTGTTTTAAGGTGTGACCAGTAGGTTCATGTAAAGTTGATGAAAGTGCTTAGTTTCATCAGTTTGCTACCTGAAGTCCGTGCTGGTCTGTTGTATTAGCAGTAGTAGTCAGCTGAACTGTGAAATCTGTGGTGTGCTGTAATGAAATAAAGCTGGATTAGTCGTGTGTTGCTCCCACTGGAGCAGAATGCAGCCCCTAATATGCATGTCTAGTCAGTGTTTGCTGAGCTCATAGCTTTATTTAGCTCGACACTGCACTAAACACCTGACCCTTTGGCCACTGGGAGCTAAGCTATATTGAAAATGGCAGAGCCACATGTGTCTTAAGTGATTTATGTCCTAATTTTGCATCACCATTGTTCTGGTAGATTGCAAATGTCTGCAGAAGTGGTATCTTAGTTAATATTAGTTAGGGCAAATGAGTTCCCAAATCTCAGGCAAGTTGCTTAGTGGTAACTTTACACTCAGTCTTGGTATAGTGTACTCACTGGCCACTTTATTAGGTACACCTATACACTGTAATGAAATCCAATACAATAGAATGGCTACTAAGGTGTTAATCCAACTATATGTTTGTTATTGCTGACATTGGTTTTGGATTGCATAATAATAATAAATGTGCTTCTGTTATTGTTTCTCCCTCATATTTGTGAATGAACTGGGCAAACCATTAGAAATGCCAACTCATATAATGTAGTTTGCTGCAGACTACAATCCTCAACAATACACCTCTGACAGTGTCAAACAAAACCAAATTTTGGTATTTTAGCAAATGTGTAATTTATGTATTAGAGTGCACCAGAGTTTACAGGCGTATCTAATAGCTTGTTGACACTGGTCCCACAGGCCTCACTTTTGTATGTGTGAAAATATAATTTGCAAACAAACGAACAATTTTTTTCCTTCAAGTAGGCTATAATTAAATTTCCTCTGACCTTGTTGAAACCCTATGTGTAGAAAAGTATTGAATGGGAACACCATCTACAAGCTCAGTTTCTTTCCAAACTGAGCTTGTGCCTTTATTTAGAATGCAGAAATGACCATAAAGTATTGTCACTGAACCACAAAGAACACTCGATTGTTGGTTAAAGTTCACATTTTGTTTACCAAAAAGCTATTCACATACAAAGAAATGTACAGCTTGTTTTTCTGTACAGTATGGACATATTTACCCTGAGCAGAGTTTCTCCATTTCAGTGTTTCGTTTGAAGGCATTTAAAGGCCCTATGAGATGAAAGTATCTATTATCCCCCTCCGAGATAACTAAAAGTGCCTTAAAACCTCCTTACAAACCTTTCTTATAAAACTAGAAACAATCATGAATGATCAAGGTGATTAAACAGTGCATTTATTTATGAGCTATTAATAAAAGGAGCCTGGGATCTCTAGGAAGGAGCCCAAACAGAATATTGAGGTAATTCAATCAGGACAGACTGACAACTTTTGAACTGCTGACTTCTCACACAGTTAAACTTCGAAGACCGTCACATCTCCTCCCATTGAATATCAAAATGTTATTTTAGGCATTGCTCTTTCCTAACCATCTCACAAGGGTCTGCTTGATCTCTATGGCAACAGCACAGTCCCGTCAGCACTGACTGAAACTGGGAAGGCTCTGTGCAGAGTGTGTCCAATAAGCCCACCAGAGCAGGGGAAGCTCAGTGACCACACTGTTCCTCTGTGGTTCTTCTGTGGCAGGGGCCATGTTAGCCACACTCTGGAAAACTTTACACACTTGGCAGCACTCTTGTTGCATGTGTTTGAGGAGACCTGGAGCATCCTCAACAATAACAAAAGAATCTGTAATTTCCTTGTGTGGCCTACAAAACAAGGTTACAGGCCTCTGGGATATGCATATGGCTCCTATATTGCCTTTGAGCCAATTTCGCTAAGTAAGGATCATGACTAACTGGTGTTGTTATAACTACCTATAGTTAGTCATTGATCACCTTCCATTTTCTGGTGTTTAATAATTTAATAGCTAGACCAACTGGCAGTGTCTTCGTTGACCTTGGCCAATAGCTTCATAAATTTACAAGCTTCTAATGCTTGCTATTTTGCTTCTCAGTTCTTTACTACTGGATGCCAGGGCTATTAATATATCCCTGTACCCAGGGAAGCTGCTGACAACATCAGATGAATCTGATCTCGTGCATGGTGAAGTGTGGAGACATTTGAAGTCCAAGAAATCTGTCACCATTCCTGGCAGCTGCAAAGTTAATCCCGGTCCTGTCCATCCAACACAGTCTGGGATGTTGATTAGTAAAACAAAGTTCAGGGCCACTTTCTTGTCCTCTTTCATACAACTTACAGGTTTGATTTAAATTTGTGAGCAATTGATTACAGAAGTAGTTGTTGATTTATTTTCTGATGATCGATTAATAGATAACTCAACCAATACATTAAGAAACACATTCTGAGTTCGAACCTTGTGGCTAAGCTCGCATGTTCTCCCAGAACATGCATTTTCATTGCATTATTTTTATTTTGGTTATTATGATTGCTAAAGCTCTGCAATGGAATTTACCTTTATTTTCTATTACTTACAGTGCAAGTAATAAAAACCAATGAAAGGTGTTAAAATTTAAATGTAACCTAAGGTGTCAAATCTAGTACATGACTTGTTGCATATCTATTCATCCATATTCTATCTCTGTCATTCTTGAAGATGTTCTACAGCAGGGGTGCCCAATACGTCTATTGTAGTGTTGGTAGATCGCATGCCATTCAAAAATAAATTTGATGTATCCGACATAAAACACGTGCCAAATGTTAGCATGTGAATGGTCAGTGTGACGATTCGCTGTGGCGACCCCTAACAGGAAAAGCAGAAAGTGACAATCATTCATATATAGCCTTTCATCCATCCTCCCTATGGCATTTGCTACTTGATTGACATGCAGGTCAGCCAGTCTGAGATCTTGTCTTTTCTGACACCACGAGTCACCAAGCATGCACAGTCAACCGCACGAGCTACTGCAAAACTCCAGTGAACAAACCACCTTGTCAGCCTTTGAATTAATTTCTACTAAAGGGTATAAAATGAGTGGGGGAGCCGAATCAAGTAAGAAACCGAAAACGTGCTGGAAACATTCCATGCGGAATGGGAGGAAGACTTTTTTTTTCGTGACGTTCTATTCAAAGTGCGTTTGCTTGATCTACCAATCTACCATCACTATTCCAAAGAAGGCACACTCACATATATATTGTGTGTGTGTGTGTGTGTGTGTGTGTGTGTGTGTGTGTGTGTGTGTGTGTGTGTGTGTGTGTGTGGTATTTTCAGTGTAGGTCGATCATTTTGACTTGGTCATTTGAAAAGTAGCTCGCAAGGTGAAAAAGTGTGGGCACCCCTGTTCAACAGCATGAAGAAATTTCCATAAATGCTTTGTCCTGTATGTTCAAGGTGTGTTGTGGCCGGAGCCGTCATCATTGCGTCGGAGTGGAGTTGCCGTGGCAGCCCTGACGGGGCGCAGGAAGAGGGTGGCAATGGGGAGGGACTGGCGGATGGGGCAGACCGTGGATTGGATGGGGACCCTGAAGGAGTCTGGAGTCCAGACATTGAGCAGAGCTTTCAGGAAGCTCTGGCCATCTACCCGCCCTGCGGCAGGAGGAAGATCATACTTTCAGATGAGGGGAAGATGTATGGTGAGGAACACAATACATTTCTGTCCCAATGTATTGGCTGTCATCTAGCCTACTACTACATCTACTGTCTCCTTTGCATCCAGGGTATTTCTTCCATATCTAATTCAACAGCCAAAGTGAACTGTGTGTTAAATGCTTACTGAGATCCTTTACATACAAAATGACAGAAAGTTTACTTTGTGCTTTGTGAACACAGCCAATAAGTAGAATCAGCTTTAATTGCCAATTATGTTGAGCATACAGGGAATTTGTCTCTGGCACAGAGGATCTCTGTGTGTTTTTATGCAACAGACAAAAGAATAGTGCAATCAAAAGCATGGGAGAAGGAGAGGCAGTATTCATAAAAAGTATATACATACAGTATATACACATTTCATGATGTCAAACTGGTGCAAGTAGCAGTACTGTTTACAATTATTGCACTGCTGTGGTTGCCGAGTCCTTTTGCTTCAGTCATAGTTAACTGTTAATCAGGCAGGAGAAGAAACTGTCCTTGTGTCTGGTTGTTTTGGCTTACGGTGACCTGTAGCATTGCCCAGAGAGGAGAAGTTCAAACAGTTCATTCCCAGGATTTGAGCAGTCTGCAGAGATCTTCTCTGCCTTCCTTTTGACCATCATTATGTTGACTGCTAGGCTATAGAGTACTAAAGTGATTACATAAAAAGAGGTTGAAAGTTGTTCCAGAAGTGGTTTTCCAATTTACTCTCTTCCATGAGTGTCCCCCTCTCTGAATGTCATTATATACAGTATATGGGCTATGCACATTGGATGGTAAGGGAATTTAAAGTAATTTACACAAAAATACAGGGTTACTGTTCACTTTGAACTGACATCAGTGTGGTTACTGAGAGAGATAATATTTTTACTTTTGGTATTTCCATTCTAAATGTAGTCTTAAATTTCATTTCAAGTGGTATTAAAATGGTCTTAAAAAGTCTTAAATTTAACGTGCATATAGCTATAGACACCCTGTTAAAGATTAGCCTAGTTCACGTTGGTCTGTGGGACTGCAGAACTAGTGTAGTAGTGCATGCACACATGCAGTGTGGCGTGTTTGTTTTTATTAGTCTGTTAAGGATGTTTCCTGCAAGTGGAGATATGAATTTCAGTTTCTTCCTACCTTATTGAAGACCTTGGCTGGCACCCAATAATCCCAGCCTTTTTCGACTTAATGTTCCCACCCGCAGCAGCCTATGTCATGCATTTATGTAGGTGTGTGTTTGTTGTTAGGGAACCAGGATATGTGATCCCATGTGACAGAAAAGGAAAGTTTGTTTCAGCATTGTGGCATTTTCTCCTTTTGTGGAAGTGCGGGCTCACTGTGTTGATTACCCCAACTTCCTTCTCAGTAAACAAGGGTAGTCCCACTGGGACACACAAATGCACACGTTGACAATCTACCCTGACACATATTTCCCAAACGCATATTGACGCATTGGTCTCACATTTTTTAAACTACTATGCAAGAAACTACCCCAAAACTTTAGTCATTGCCCCGTATTACAATACTGTGAGAAACTCTGAATAACCCTTTTTCATTTTTCTTTGAATTCCTGTGATTTTTGGACATTTTTCTTTCCTAATTATGTAGGCTTAGTTGTTGTTCAAGTGTATCATTTAAAAATAGGAAAAGACCCCTTAGATACGGGTAGAAACTGAGATAAATGTGCTTGAAATTACATCATTTTTGATCAAGCAAAACTTCTTCCAGAGACATTTAATGTAATAGGTACCTTTATTCTAACTCATCTTCCAGTGTGCCTATTGTTCACATGTTAGATGCTTTACAGCAAATGGGCCATGTGTTGTGTTCAAATGAAAGTGTTTGGGCTTATGTGGAGTAGTGGTAGTCTGCAGGAAAGTGCATGTGCCTTGTTTTGGGAATTGGAGCAGACTGCTGTGTCTGAGTCAGCCCCTTTTGTTGATTTTGGGGAATTTTATGTTCTGGTAACTTCAGGCTGATGTGAGTCAGCTTGATGTGACCTAAGTCCCTACAGAATCACCCTGCTTCCCAGAAAGAAGCAAGCTGATGTTAGTTCATATGCCTATGTGATAAACGATTACAGCAGTGGAAGTCTGTAAGGCTTCGTTTAATCACACTTATCTTTAGCCTTTTTTTTGGCTTTCTGACATCTGCAACAGAGTGAATGGTGAATTGCTCACCAGTTACGATTAAAGACAAGTTGATCATCAGGTGTGGGTTGGAGCTGGGGGAAGCAGAAAGAGCTGACCAGGCAGTCTATAGTAGTCACCACATTTTGGAAATGTAACTACTGTATATGCTGGCCTCTGCTTTCTTTTTCCTTCCATTCCTGACACTTGTCTGTCTGTTTAGGAGCTCTGCCAGCAAGCAAAGCCAGATTTTATATAATGTGTTCATTGCTGTCAGGATGAAAAGAGAAATTCAGAAAATGTAATAGAAATGCTTCTGGAAGGAATCGCCAACCCGACCTTTAAGAAGATTAACATTGGGTGGTTTCCCTTTAGGGATCAGAGTACACTTGGTCCCAAAGCCAGCTTTCATTTTGATCAGTTTGAACCCAAGTGTGCTGGACTTGGGCATCGTGCTCAAGTCCACTTGAAGAAGTGGTTTCGAGCACGGTCCGCTGGAGATGTGAACGCAACCATTCTGAAACAAGGAAGTGATTTGCTTTGTGATGTCATAACTGTTTGACTCTGACGAATAACATGGCGCAAAAGGATCTCTGTGGAGTAATGAAGAAGTAAAATGTCTGCTTGAAATTTGGGCTGACGAAAACATACAAAGACATTTGGACAGTACACACAAAAACTCAGATTTATTCAAGTATTCGTCAGTATTTACATGCACCTAGTTAATGATGCAAGTGGTTATGGTTTCTTCTTTCTTCTTCTTGGCAGATTGCAAACCAACTATGTGCATGCTGCCACCTACTGTATCGCACTGTGTACATATGAAAGTGTACTGATACCATAGCAGCCCAGCTGTAACTAAATTAATATAATGGCTAAAAACTTCTTTGTATATTTAAGTGCTCTGTTCTGACTTTATCTGTTAATTTGTCAATTGTAGGTCGAAATGAGCTGATAGCTCGCTACATCAAGCTGCGAACAGGGAAGACGCGCACACGCAAGCAGGTATGCACAAACGTTATTGAAGACTAGATGTTTTTATATTGGCTATGTGCATCTTATCTCTTAAAATTAAATAGTAATTTTAAAGTGATTCTTAATTATTAATGGACCAAGGCTGTTTAAATATGCAAAATTATGTGAATGTGTGTTTTCATGGGGGTAATCCTTGCCTCATAGGTGTCTAGTCACATTCAGGTTCTGGCACGTAAAAGGGTACGAGAATACCAGGCGAGCATCAAGGTGGGTGCCTGCTGAACCCTCTGTGGTCACATCCCCTATTCTTTTCCTTTCCTTTTTCTCCCATCCTCTTTCCTTCATCCTGTCTTTCCTCAGGTCTCTAGTCACCTACAAGTCTTGGCCAAGAGAAAGTCTCGTGAGATTCAGTCTAAGCTCAAGGTACACATGCTCACAGCTTTTGCTGCTGGCTACTTTGCTCTGCATGTGTTCTATATTGAACATAACGCAGCATAGATGTCATTGTCAGAGATTATGGCAGATTAACAGCAGTTTATTAGGTACACCCACAGTGGGAGCCAATCAAAGTGTCTTTGTTTTCACTGTGGTGTGGTTGTGGTGCCCTCATGGGGTTGTTGTAATAATGCAGCGGTTTTAATCTTGCACCAGCCTCAGGAAATCCAACATGTAGTTATTTTGTGTGCTACGGCATTGCAGAGTCACGCCCTCATTACTGCCACTTAGTATGAGGATGCAGAGAGGAGACTTCATAAATGGAAGATTTATTGCACTGCTGCATTAGTTTTAGCTAGGTGTACCTAATAAACCGCTAACTGAGCGTATGCTCTGTCAGGGAGTTGCAGTAACTACCCTAAAGGTTCTGCCATAATCATCATTGGAGCACTGAGATAGTGTTGGTTAATGTCTGAGTGGCAGGCTTCGATATTAAATGGCTATTTGGTGGTTGCTTTTATGCTTTAAAGAGTCGCTCAGTTATTTACTTTCTGTCCATATTTGAAGTTGTTTGGTGCTGATTGTAAACCTGGTGTTTTGAGCATGTTTGTTTATCTTGTATCTATCTACAGTATATATCTTCATGATGTCATTGCAGTTTGTGGGGGAAAAAGGGTTTTGTTACAACATGCATGGCAGTAATGGTAGAGCTCAAGAGGTTTGTGGCCTAGGTAATTGCACGAGACTAAGGAGCTGTCTTGGTTTGACCTCAGCATGTGCATGGTTATGGTAATGCATATGAAGGCCTGCATACACACAATCATGCAAGGCGTTTTTTATGGGCCCCCCATCCATTTGAATACTTAAGGATTTAAAGTTTTCTCCTCTGATACATCTCCATGTTCTTGCTCTGAAGCCTTTCCCTCTGTCTTTTATATCTTTTCTGTTTAAGCACATTTCTTGCGGTTTTACCGTGCCCTGTAATAAAGGCAACAACAATTTGCCCCAAAGGCATTTAACTAATGCAAATTTAGAGAGTGTAACTTGTTCAGATTTCCATGTCTGTATTTTCCCTAATATAAATGTTAGCAGTTGGATTTATGATGGCCTAGATTAATAGGAAATATCTTCTACTGAGTAAATGTTTTTGTGCTTAGTGTGAGTGTTCAACAAGCTAGGTTCAAAGAGTTAGGAAGAGTGAGGAAGGGCTTTTCCTTTATTTCCTAATGGTGATTATGTGACCTACTTCTATTTTGAATGTACTGAAGGTAATTAATAACATGTCTTTTTTGCCATAGGCCATGAACTTGGTAAGTCTTGGGTATATAATTTCAGTTTTCTGCTTCAGGCTTTGTGCTTTGTGGCTGGCATCACATTACTGCTAGTCCACAGTGCCGTTTTACTGTCAGACTCAGAAATCCTGCTCATTACTCTCTTGTTTTAGTCACTTTAGTTAAACACTGGTGATGGCTCCAGTTAGCTCTCCTAGCCTGCTAGCTTGGTGCATCTCCTGCTTTGGCATCCACTTATATCTGCTTGGCACGCTGTCCTGTCTTCCCTCATAGTTACTGCATCATGTTGAAGTAAGTTGGCTGGCTTGCTGTTTAAACTGGCCGTAATGTTTTGCTGACTCTGTAATGACCAAAATTTTTATTAAGTTTTTCAGGGCAGAAAATTATTGTTATTTATTGTTTTGTCTTTCTCTTTCAGGACCAGGTATCCAAAGACAAGGCACTGCAGACAGTAGCCAACCTCTCCTCAGCTCAGATTGTGTCTGCAAGTGTCATGAAACCCCAGACTCCCTTCCCCCCATCAGTCAGAGTGAGAAAAAAGAAAAAACACAGACACATCTGTTCTTTTCTAGCTTCTGGTAAGACTAGGTAATATTTTGTCCTGGTTCTCTTCTTCCCTTTGTTTAGTTTTGGCCCGGCACCATACCAGGACAGCCTGGACATTCTCAGGAGTAAGTATCACTTGCAGATGAGTTGGTTTTGTTAGTTTAAAATTGGAGAAAATTTCTAGATTATGCTGACATACTTAATCATTTTTATGTCCCTATTGTTTTTTTTTTTTATTTACAGCATTAAGCCCTTTGCACACCCACCATACACTACACTACCAGCCCCTGTCCCTGCACCTGTCGGTAAGTGTGAACAAAAAGTCTCTAGTTTGACAAACTATTGTCATTATTGCCATGTTAATTGTGTTTTCCTGGTTTAAATGTACGGTAGGTTACGAGCCCCTACCTCCCCCTCGACCTGCAGCTATAGCAGCTCCTGTATGGCAAGACAGAACCATTGCCTCAGCAAAACTACGGCTACTGGAGTTCTCTGCTTTTATGGAGACCCAGAGAGACAGAGAGACGGTAAAGACATCTAGATATTTTTGATGAGGAGTTAGTAATAAAAAATTTACCTCTCTCTCTTTTCCCCTGTTTTGCCTTCTCTTTCTTACGTTTCTCCTTCTTCAAACAGTATAAACACCTTTTTGTGCACATCGGCCCTTCAAACCCAGGATACAGTGACCCTGTTCTGGAGTCCATAGATGTGAGGCAGATTTATGACAAGTTCTCTGAGAAGAAGGGAGGCCTGAAGGAACTGTATGAAAAAGGGCCACACAATGCATTCTTCCTTGTCAAGTTCTGGGTCAGTAAACAAAACCGGTGTTCACATTGTGATAAGTTCTTTTTTAAATAACCTGGAATTGTGTTTTTCCATTTGATTTTATTATATTCATTGCATTTTGGTGGTTTGTTTATGTTGGCACGTTTGAGGTTATAACCTATTGTTCCACATGGGGGAAGCAAAACCACTGTGATGCTGAAGCAGAGGGTTTTATCATTAGGAGGGTTGAGTATCTTTTGAATTTTAGCGATTCCAGTTCTGCTCAGAAATTCTGGGTCTTATCAGTTCCCTGTTTAGATTCCAAAATGGTAAAAATAAATAATGTTTAGATAAAAATATTTCCTATTCTTTTCAGCTTTAACTGAACATTCCCAAAGTAAATTTTATTTACTAAATATGTACAATACATACCAAAAAAATGTAGCAGTTTAGCTGTGTTTTGTTACACTGTGGCAGTAGTAGTGACGCTTGTAGACGGGCAGCGTTTTTATATTCTCTTAACAACTTCCCTTGCTGCCTTATCGCATGTTCAGTGTCTGTGTAATTTAGATTTACCTGTGATAGAGGCAGTGTTGAAACTTCGTCTTGAACTATTGGTGTTTACGTTAACCAAACAACACATAAAGTTGTATTTCCAGATAATTAGAAGAAAATGTTCACATTGTCCATAGAACCTGTTGCATCAATAATTGTCAACTTAATAGCTGTAACAAATATGAATCTCTCATATGAAAACACAGTGGAAACCAGTAGAGGTCGAGCCATTTGTGGATAATTAACATGTTGAGCTGCTTGTTGTACATCTAATTTATAGGAAATCTGCCTACCAAGCATTTTACCACAAATGCCATAACCCCTCTGTGACCCTCTACTGGAGGTGTTTGCTGAGGTGCGACTAGCGCTGGTTGATGCCACAGTGGGCTCTGAGACCGCAAGACACGAAACGCTGTACAGTCTTTCAGAACGATGTGCAGCCAGACTTGCAGCTAATTATCTGCCCACCTGCATTGCACTTTGTCTTGTCATCATTACGCCTCTGTGCTGGTGATAGCTGTGACCAGGTGTTAGTCCTGTTTTTGTGAACATGCTATGTTAGGAATGTGTTGTGTGTTATAATAAGTGAATAAAAATCTGGTAGTGACTTTCACACTCACTTCTGGCCCACCTTTTCTATGGCTACTCCAGGCGGATCTGAGCAGTGACATTGAAGATGGTCCTGGTGTGTTTTACGGGGTGAGCAGTCAGTACAGTGGAACAGAAAACATCACGATCAGTGTCTCCACAAAGGTCTGTTCGTTTGGTAAACAGGTGGTGGAGAAGGTTGAGGTGAGACAATCAACCCAGTATCTTGATAAACATAAATCATTTTATTTTTTGTACAGTATGTTTTTAATTGTTAAGCTTGTGCCAATTCCTCCCCATCCAGACAGAATATGCACATATGGAAGGAGGAAAGTACATGTTCCGCATCCATCGTTCGCCCATGTGTGAATATATGATCAACTTCATCCACAAACTCAAACACCTGCCAGAGAAATACATGATGAACAGTGTGCTGGAGAACTTCACCATCCTACAGGTGTGTGTCCGCGCTGAGTTGAATTTAATTTATTGCCAACAAATGTTGATGAGCTCATGGTGCAGGACAGTAGTCAACACAGCATATCAATTAAATCATTAGTAAAACATCTTAAAATGCAGTTATAAGAAAAGCTAAAAACAAAGGGGCCAAAGGGTTCACATTTAAGAGTCAGATAGCTTTTTGTTGTTTTGTTTGTTTGGAAGACTCCAGTTTAATACCTCCTCGCACAGGGCGTTTGTCAAAAGATGAGGGATGGAAATAATTTCTAATGATGTTAAAAGCTGAAGTTAAAGCTGAGAAAAATGGAAAGGAGTGGCCAGGAAATTTAGATGCAGTCTCCACTTTTTTTCTTTAATTCAGCAGCAGTCAGCCTGCCAAAACAAACTGCTAGAGAAAGTATGCACACTTTCCACACCTTGATGGACCATAGCTTGAAACTCAAGAATTTTTTTTTAGCCAAAAAAAAAAAAAACAAGCAGTTTGTAATGACCCAGCAAGATTTAGTAAGCATCAATAACTTTCCCAACAATTTCTGGATATACTTTCTTACCTTCCTATCTTCTGAGGTCTGCTTTTACAGTATATCATTAGTTTTCCTGTTATTTAGCTGGAGGTTATTGTCACTGCACCAGCTAGGTAGATATACCTCTTTCCTGCAAGTCCTTGTCATCTCTGTCTAAACTGGTGTTTGTTCACGTATTAATTATTATGTTTTATTCTATCTTGACCCTCCACAATGCTTTCATCTTGTCTCTTGCTAGGTGGTGTCTAACAGAGAAACTCAGGAGACTCTGCTGTGCATCGCCTTTGTGTTTGAAGTGTCCACTAGCGAGCACGGTGCACAGTATCATGTGTATCGACTAGTTAACGACTAGCAGCACGTTGCGTGCCTACAGAGACTTTCTAGAGACTTTGTGATACAAAGAGCATAAACACACCGTATCCCCACTCTACTACTCTAAACACACTCATTTTAACAGACCAACAGTCACTCTAGTCACACCTGTTGTTAATGTGTATGCTTCTTTATTGCTGCAAAGTGTGCACACATCTTTCTACAACCTCCCATGATGGAAACACTAAAGTGAAAGTTATATTTTTGTAGATTATCGTTCTTTGTAGATCATTTGTCATAATCATCATAAGTGATGTTATCAAGTATAATGATTCAGTCACAGTGAGGTCGCACCCTTGAGCACAACTCTAAATTCCATGCTCCAGATATCAGGGTTCATTATAGGTACAGTGCATCCAGAAAGTATTCACAGTGCTTAAAATTGAGCTCTGGAGCATCTTGTTTCCACTGATCATCCTTGAGATGTTTCTACAACTTGATTGAAGTCCACCTGTGGGAAATTCAGTTTCAGATTGGACATGATTTGGAAAGGCATACACCTGTCTATATAAGGTCCCACAGTTAGCAGTGCATGTCAGAGCACAAACCAAGCCATGAAGTCCAAGGAATTGTCTGGAGATCTCTGAGACAGGATTGTATCAAGGCACAGATCTGGGGAAGGGTTCAGAAAACTTTCTGCAACATTAAAGGTCCCAGTGAGCACAGTGGCCTCCATCATCCGTAAATGGAAGAAGTTTGGAACCACCAGGACTCTTCTGAGCGATCGAGAGAGAAGGGCCTTAGTTAAGGAGGTGACCAAGAACCCGATGGTCACTCTGAAAGAGCTCCAGCATTTCTCTGTGGAGAGAGGAGAACCTTTCAGAAGAACAACCATCTCTGCAGCACTCCACCAATCGGGCCTGTACGGTAGAGTGGCCAGACGGAAACCATCAGTAAAAGGCACATGGCAGCCTGCCTGGAGTTTGCCAAAAGGCACCTGAAGAACTCTTAGACCACGAGAAACAAAACTCTCTGGTCTGATGAAACAAAGATTGAACTCTTTGGCCTGAGTGCCAAGCGTCATGTCTGGAGGAAACCAGGCACTGCTCACCACCTGGCCAACACCATCCCTACAGAAAAATGTGGAAAAGTTTAAGCGCTGTGAATACTTTCTGGATGCACTGTATTAGGTTTTACTCTTCAGTGAGATTCACCCACAATATACTATATTAAAACATCAAAGAAGAAACCTGCAAAAACCCAGAAGATTTTATAATGTTTGTGTCATATACAATAAGCTGTGATGCACTAAAAAAAATTTTTAATTTTGAGGAAACTTCCAAGCATTTACTTCATAAGTGTGACTAATCTGGGACAAGTTTGAATATAGGTTGGTAAACAAATCATGTAATCAGTGTTAATGTAACTTTTACAGTTTGTATTATGTTTATAAGGTAGGGACTGGATGAGCCTGTAATGGTGTATTTTCTATCAGTACTTAAAAGTAGAATTATGATTTTCATATGGTTCAGTGGAAACTCTGTCACCATCTGACAAAGTATGAGTGTGTCTTTTCCCAGAATGCAGTGCACTACATACAAAAGTGCAAGAGTAGCATTTATATTTGGAACACTACGTCTAAGTGTAAAGAGGGCAAATGTTTTTTTGCTGTTTAAAGGTTTTCAGTGGTACGTGGTGTGGAAGGAAAGAGTTTGATCAAATCTCTATGTGTTTAATGTCGTCTTTCAAAGTAAAATAGTTCACAGACAGTGAGTTCACATCTGGTTTTCAACAGCATTTGGAATGAAATAATTACTTTTACTGTTCATAGATGTACTATAGTTTTCACTCTGACTGGGTGGACTTGCTGCAGTATTTCTACCTCCACATGAGTTGGGATAAGAATTAGCTTTGGTTCATTAGGCCTTAACCTGAGGAACACTCATGTATAGGATGTGTACACTACACTTGTAATGGTACTGTTTAAAAGCCAAAACAAGGGAAATTGACTCAATTTTGTAAAGATGAACTATCTCTTTTGTATTTTACCAGCACTGCTAAAAGTGTTACACTAAACACAAATGATGGGTGTTTCGATTATTTTCATTTGATGTATGCAAGAGGATGTATGGTACAGACCACACTACGGTCACCCACAGAGCTTTGGGACAGATTTGGTTCAAGGATTTTATTGTCAATTCACCATATGTGCAGGACATACAGAAAATCGAAATACCATTTGTCTTTGTGCCTCATAACACTAGCAAGCTTTCCAGCTCACATGCTCCCCCCCCCCCCCACACACGCTTTTGTTCATATGTAATATTCTGGATCTCTGGTACAAATGGCTACCACTTTTTTTTGTTTGTTTGTTTTTTTTGTTATAGTAATGCTTATTTGAATGTATCACCTTCTCTTGGCAGGATTATCTTTAACCAGCTAATGACTTGTCTTTTGACTTTGCTGTCATGAAAGATAAGAGCCATCAAGTTTGGTTTTAAATGAGATCTCCGTTTATTTTTCACTGTGTGGTAAGCCAGAATTGTTTTATTTCTGTGTCTTGTCTTTGTACTCGGGTGTGCCTTATCACTCCTGTGGTCAAGGCTGCTCAGTGAATTAAATTTGTGCCTTTATGCTGTAACAATAAAAATCACATGGTGTTTGCAGTATCACATAGCCTTTAGACTCTTGATAGTAACATTTAGACAGAACTGGAGCTCTGCTGTAAACGCAACGTTACTTGCCACACACACACACACACACACACACACACATTAATTTTATTCCACAGAGGCTGCAGTTATCTTTTGGCCTACCAGGTGGCACTGTTGCCTAAATATTGCTGACTACCCAGTCTGTTCCAATACTGGCAGGCTGTCCAGTAACCTTTGGCGTTTTTGTGTATAAAGACAAGGTGTTTACTGACGTTTGATGACGAATCTTTGGCCTGTCATACTAGTGTGAGGGGCTTAACGCTGTTGTGTCCCAAGACTTTGTGTGTTTCATACCTATTAGCGTCAGTATTTGATGCCCTGGGGTGAGAATGTGTTTCACTACCACAAAATGCTGTAAGAGTGAAATATGTTTAGAATCTGGTCTGCACCTAAATCACTGTCGAGCTTTACTGTCTCCACATGCATAATGCCCTCATCCAATCTGACTCGCGTTATTTGTCATACATACCATGTCTTCCCTACAGTTACATAACATTAATGGTTTTGCCTTTACACAGTACTTATGAGTCTGCGCAGATCTTGGAGTGAGCTCACATCAATGCAATGCTATTAATGTAATGCTATTAATGATGGGTTTCCTTAATTATAGAAAGACTGAATATCTTGGATAAATAAGGGTCAAGTAGGAGCTCAACACAAGTACAATATAAATGATGATATAAGTTATTCAAAAAAACAAATTATTAGAAATGATAAGAGATGTACAAATTATTCTGACTGCATACTACTAGATGAACTACTGCCCTAGTTTCAGGTCATGTGCATGCTGGGAAAGGACTTTTCTGGAGTTCTGGTGCTCTGAACTATGGCCAAACAGTTTGCAACAGGTTTACTCAAAGAAACAAGATGCACTTGAGTACAATTTGGAATTGCACAGCGCAGGGTCTGAATACTTTTTAAGTTTAAAAATTTGTATAGAGTCGGCCTGTACACATAAGTCCAACTGAACGCTTACACTTTTTTCAGGATCTTTATAAATACATAAATGTTCTATATTCTCTGTGTTTGGCACATTTACAAGACGTAAAGTGAGTTCTTTTACCAAGGTCTGACTTCAGACACACAAGGCTGTATGGTCTTTATACAAGCTGTCAAACAGTGGTGACAGTATGTGACCTTTAAATGCACACAAAAGCATGTTTGTTTCACCTACAAACTATAAAACAATTTGATAAAGCTTTAGTGACCTTTGGCTTTACACTTTTAACCTCATAGCCTTGTCAAGGTTCTGAGTAACATGAACAATTGTGCAGTTCCAGTATTCCACACACTCTTTACGCTCTTTAGGCAGTAGACATTAGTCAGTGGCTGTCTGAAGGCTCTGCTTATCAACTCCATGCTGCCAAAACTGCAAGTGGTGAGCATTGACACACACACACACACATACACACACACACAAAGCCTTCAGGCAGGGTGTGGTGCTTACTGCATAAGCCTGCTACCATCACAGTTGTATGAGAATACATCTAACATAGTTAACAGGTTGCTCAAGACTGTGTCTCACTTTTAATCAGTAAATAACTAAGTCATGGACAAGTACTGATACAGGTTTAGTTTCAGTGTGATTGTCATTTCCAACACTAATCGATCATTCTGGTCTTCAGCTGTCAAATCTAATCAACCGACACCACACTGCCCTGCCTTGTCTCACCTTCTTGGATATATACTGAGTAGATCAAATGTCTCTTGGATAAAACCTCTGGTTAGGATATACCAAGAGGAGCTGAGTTCATTGACACCCCCTTTAACTTACATTTCAATAAATACACACACACACACACGTCACAGGTACATTACCCACATGACATGCGTTTGTTTCCTTGGCAGTGTTGAGAAGAAGGGTGTGGTGGGAAAATGACACTTTCAGAAACTTATCCAAAACAACCCAGTTATTCTTCTCTTTGATTCCTCCCTTTTTCTTTGCTGTAGTTTCTAGCTGACTTATGTCAAGTTACACTTGCTCATGTCCTGACCTGTCTCACCTCTGCTTTTGATAATTTGTTGACATGAAAAGCAATTATAAAAAAGTAGTCACACTAATCCAGCTCAGAGGATTTTAAGAATGTAATATTCAAAAACAATATCTGTATTTGTATGCTTTTTAAATATGAATTTTTCAGGATTGGGGCTGAAAAACATGATGTTGCTATGAATATGGAATTGTAAATATCTATGTGGGTGCATGTGTATGGTACTGATCTGTGTGCATGCAGGTATATATACTGTATATGTGCCTGTGCAGGTATGGCGTTTATTTCTTTTACTTTCTGCCCTGTTTCCCAGCCATTTATGTGCATTGAAAGATCATCCATTTAAATATAAAAAAGAAACGATAATCTGCTCCTTTCCTTGTCAAACCCTGTTAACATGGAAAGGAGCAGATACAGAATTTCCCCATTTTACTTGCAACAATTTGCATAACAGAAAACCAGAGTTCTCACTAGAAATCTAGGAACCTGCCACTTTGTACAATTTGTGAAAAAGATTTTCATGGTTCATATGGTCATAAGTATTAGAAGCTTCAAGAAAACCTGTGAAAACAAACTAAATTGCGTTCCTCATTGTGTTTTCATTCTTTTCTTATATATCAAGGGGCATATTTATACATTTATGCTTTATTACACTAAACTCCAGAGGAAAATGTTCTTTTTTATTGCTGTACATTTATCTGACAGATTTTGTTTGATATAGCCTATTTCCTTCCTTCCTTTGCACTAATCCTCTGACGCCCCACAGCTGTGCAGATATTCCACCATGCACTAAGCTTTTAAGCATGAGTGTCTGTCTCGGCCCCTCCCCTGACGCCGCACCTGCATTTGAACTCTTTCATTCCACCTCCGTGAGGCGCGGTGCCGGGGGTGGAGTTTGACCCAGCTGTTCTAGGAACATTAAGTCTGTGTGCGTAGTTGGCACATCCGCCGTACGCTGCACTCTGTCAGTACGCAGTTTTTAATTTTTGGAAGCTGATTTGAACAATCCGCTCACGGGAAGGGCACCGATCTGGGAAGATGATGGCTCCGGAACCGCTGCGATCAGCGATGGCCGTCGGGTACGCGGAGGACACGTCGCTCGCGGTGCCCTCCGACGACAAGCTGCGCTCGGGACAACAGCGCGTGCTGGATCAGGTGCACACCATCAAGAGGAGCAAATCCAAAATGGGGAGGAACGGCTCGCTGTCTCCTTCACCTACAAGTATGGGAAAGCCTTTATAAAACCTCACAATATTAAGAATAATACAAAGCAAACATGTTGGGGGCTTGTTCTTTGCAACGTCTTTCTACAAAATTAGGCAACTTTTACACTTTCTCGCTGAGCAAATATCAAAAGTGTATTAACTTGTGATTGGGAAGAAGACAGGGAAGAATTTAGTCAGAAATGTACACTCCATGAAATGTGATCCTGGCTGCTGTTGAACAACAAAGCGATTTTTGTTAGTGTGAGCTCAAAAGAACAGCAGCCACACACTACTCCATCATATCAGTTTGGAATGCAGTCTTGCAAAAACCCCACATTAGATTTCAGTCTTTCTAACACCACTGGTGTTTGGTATTGCTGCAAGAGACATTATAAACATCCACCAACACCGAGAAACAAAATATTTTTATGTTGCGAAATGTGTGCACATCCTCCAGTTGGGATGTAGTGCATGGCTGTTACATGATGTAGCATGTTCTGCAGACACTCTCTGCAGTTTTACACTTTTACTGACACTTTAGATGTTTCAGTCGATTGTAAAATGTTGTCTCTGACATGTTTAAAAATGGGCTTTCATTAAATGATGGAATAGAAAAATGTTCCAGTGACAGACGTAGAATCATGGGCTCCAGAAAACAAACTTTAATTTAGACTTCAAAGGCTGTGCCTGAAATTAGAAAAAGATGGTTCACATAATGCAGAGCTTCAAAATGAACTCTTTACAATGAAAATTGAAATAGGTTTGTTTAATTCAGGCTGGCGCCAATGATTCTACAAAACACAGCACAATATTTGTAAAGAGAAGACAAACACTGAATCATAAGAAGTTGTGCTACAAGGGCAGAGTTGCACACATCCCTGGGCTTGTCAGGCTGCTCTAAGCTTTAATGCTGGGACAAAAACATGAACAACATGGAACCTTCTTCAGTGCACTGAAATAATGATTTTGTCCAGAAGGAGGTGTCGTAGCGACAGTGGTGGTGATGTCAGAAATTAGTTGGGCACTTGCTGCTGTAGATTTTGCTACTGAAGGCTAGGACCAAACCTGTGCTGTCACATTAAAGGGGCAGGTCAACCAAATTACAAAAAAGGTATATTTCCTCATTTATCCTGAGCCGTATTTGCCTTCCAGGCAGCTTTGGTTTGATGGCTGAGCTTGTGAGGTATTTGCCTCTTGATGATTGTTCCATAACTACTATCAGTCCAAGTATGTCAGTCAAGAGGAGTTTGTTCATCTAGATCCATCACAATGCTTCTTTTAGCTCTAGTTGTTTGGTTTATATGTTTGGCACAACACATGTAAACGTAGAGACGATTCAGCTGTACCTTCATCAATGTGCAACATGAATGAAACTGCTTTCTACCACAAAATTCTCTGTAAAGGTTGCCCATGGTGGTGTCTGTGAATAATCCTTAGTAACTCTTTTTGTTTTGTTGCTTCTTGAAAGTCATGTCACTGCTGAGTTTTAATTTCTGTTGTATTGGAGGTTCTGTTGTATTCAGCACATAATACTGAAACAATCTGCTCGGCTGGATAGTAGGCTGACTTTTAGAAAACTGTCTCTTTAAGGCTTTTTTATTTTATTTTATTTTGCAGTTTATGTCCTTAGTTCATTTTCTGTACAGTATCCACATCTGTTTACTACCATAAGCTTTTAGTGGTGAGGTCATTGCAGGACATTTGGCACCATATGGCAGTGAGTCATGCAATGGTACTAAAACATGCAGACTATGTATGAAGGCTGGGCATTATAAGCTTAGACACAACACGTAACGCTGACTGCAAACTGTGACTGAAATGATGTCACGTCTGTCTCTGTCTGATGGAAGGATTGGCAGACATGTATATTAATATTAAAACTTGTAATATGTGTGGTTCGGTCTTTGTATCTTCAAAACAAAATGAACCTACTGTTCATTTTTTAATATTGATTTTGAATAACAAAGGTATGATAAACAATAGGCTTTAGAAATGAATGTTGTTTTCCACAAAAAGTTTTTGTCATTGATATTTGAGCTGACAATATGCATAAAGTATACATAAAATATGTAACGTAGTTCTTAATGAATTAATAACAATTTAATTCAATCCATCAAAAATTGATCGAACCACACAGCGATTTAATAAATAACCGACAAAACATTATACACATTATTAGATTAAGGTACCACTTTTGACTTGGCAGATTTGACCTGTTTTGCCAAAAAATGTGTACAAGTATAAGCAATGATAGCATTGGCCAATGGAAAATAAGGAACCAAATAGTTAAACAAATTGCAAACAGGCAAGAAATTTAATTTCTCTCTTAAAACATCGTGTTAAATACACCAGTGAATGTGGGTTTTTTTTAACTATCTAGTTTAAATACGTAAAGTTGATCTTTTAAAGTATTGCTCCATTCATTTATTTATTTGTGGTCTACACTTCCCTCTCACAAATCTCTTTTATAATTGTGCAGTTTTCAGCTGAGCTAATAATAAATACCTTAGATTGTAAGTCCACCAGAGAATGAGACTGTCCAGTGACGCACACTTGAGTCACTTCTGTATCGGGAAAGGAGCACATTTTTCTGCAGTCATTTTTCCAGATGTAGAGGGAGTATTTGGCGGTGTTGTGAGTCTATAGGAAGCAGAAATCACCATAAAGCGGTTTAAATGAATAACGAGGAACATCAAGTAAAACATGCATTATGAGCCCGACTAATTATCAGGGCTGTGGAAACCCGAAGCCAACATGAAGACACCAACTTTTAAACAACACCCTCAGGCCTTCCTGCCAGTGTCTTTGATGTTCATTGGAGACTTTCTCTTCCTTTGGTTACCACCATCACAACAGTAATCTGTATAGGTGTGCTTCAGGTTTCTTTGTTGTTATTTATCCCATCGCTCCTAGTAACATCTTGAGGGTTAAAAAGTCATTTCTGGAATGGGTCTCTGAATTCTTCTTCTCTCTGTGCCTTGCTGTTCTTTGTGTCATTTCTCATACTCTATGTCTGCTTTTTTTTAACAGGCCTGACTCCACCGGCTTTGATAACATATAACGATTTTGGATCGTTCAGGTTTTCACCATCCAAAGCAAATGGCACCTTCAGCCGGACCAACTCGGCTATGTCATCAGGCTACAAAGTGGTAATTATTATTATTTCTTGTGTAACAGCCTGATGTGTTGACAACAATAAAATTATTTTTGAAAAATGTATTGCATACAAGCAAAGCTCTGAGGAAATATTGGTTGTTGTTATTAGCTTGCCATAATGCCTGAAAAAGCATATCTGGCCCTGGTAACAGAATCTGCCTACCAGACCTATAAAGCTCACTAATGAACATGTTATATCTTGTTAGTTTTATCCATACAGAGTCCCAAGTATAAAAATGTAAACTTGTGGTTTTACAGTTTGTTATCTGTGGGACTATTTTGGTCACTGCTCCAGGAAGTCAGGAATGGGTGCATTTTGTTTGTTTCAGACAGAGCCAGGCTCGACAGTTCCTTGTTCCCAGTATTGCTAGGTCTAGTCCAGTTTCATACTGAACAGACGTACACTATATGGGAATGGTATCAAGCTACTCATCTTAGTGAGAAAGCAAATAAGTGTACTTCCAAAAATGTCAAACTATTCTTTCCCTGGAGCATGTTTTTGAAAAATGCAGTAAAGATGAAAAAAGTCTAAAAGATGTCTGGTAGCCCAGACACATGCCAAAAGTCTCTCCCAGCTGCCTGCAAATGGTTTGAGTCTTAACTGTGCGAAGTTTGGTTTGTGAAAGTATAATTGATTGTAGTAACAGAATCAGTGGGTGCATCATTATTAATCTTCTCATTTATGGGTGATTTATGACAATGTTTGGCAAAGCATTATGCCATAGCAATGCTGGTTGAACCGGTAGCGTTGTCACATGGCTTTCTTATTTTGTTAGGCAATCAACCGTTCATATCTGTGGCCAGATTGATTCATCTGGTTGCATGCCACAGCACAAACCCTGAGCCATTTAGTTGGTTAATTGTGCCTTCTAGTTGCTTTAACAACATTTAAGGGGAGTATTATTTTCAGTTTGTGTATACACACATTCATGTGTTTTTGTCCCGTGCCTGTACGTGTACGAGTGCATTTTACAGTGTCGGTGTGAATACAGTATTGTTTTTGAATGCCATTGTTAATTTCGTTCCTCTCGCTAATACTGGACTTATCTGAATTCCACACAAGAGACGACTTCATCAGTGTGGTTTTGTGTGCATGTATTTGCGTGTCAGTGTATTTATTTGTTCTGGGCTGGCCTGATCTACTGACAGTGAGTTGAGGCATGTCTAAGGAGTGTGGCGGTGTGTTCTTGCTGATGAAGACTCATAGTCATCACATCACAGTATACATCTCTGTCACTGCTTTTTTTTTTTATAATGTGTGTGTTGATTGTGTCACCTTGCCTAAATTCCAAAGGTGAAATTAGTGAGTGTATTTGTTTGGTAAATAATGCACTGCTGACCTAGTAACCACAGGTTCTAACATTTCTCCCTCCTCTTTATATGAATATTGATATACAGTGGCCACTTTATTAGGTACATCTCTACACACACTTGTTAATATAATGTAGTCCACTATAAGACCACCTTGAACTATGACCTTGATAATAAACTAATATAAACAAAAAATACAATTGATTTCACCAAAGCCTAAACATTATAATATTATGTGATATTACATTTAGAGGAAATTCAATTGAGAAATTTTATGGGAATTACTATTTTTACTTATACTTTATCATTAGTGGCGGCTTTAGAAAATTTTGGACGGGTTTCCAGGTTGGGGCACAGACTCGGAGAGGGGTGGGACATTTGAAATATGTGTAAATTAAACCCCTAATTCTATGAAATAATAAACCATACATTATTAAGAATTGAAATCTTTATTTTGTCTTAAAATGAGACACACATAGTGCTTTCTTTAGCTAACTTTAGCTGCACTCCTTATTTACTCCCATTGCTGCTGCACAGTCACCCACCCCCCAAATTATGCCAAGTTCTCCACAACAAAACAATTGGAGAAATAAATGCAAACATCATGCTGCACATATGATATAAAAATAAAATTTCTTTTTCATCAATATCAATTATAAAGCACCAGAAAAATGCTAGTTGTATTTAAGGCAATAATTTTTCAACAAACCAGCCGGATTCTCGGGGTGGCTTGTGCCACCTCTGGCCACCCCCTGGCTCCGCCCTTGCTCATCATGTTGTTGCAGAGATCTAGCAATGTAAAACAAATACAAATCAGTCCAGTCATATTTCACAGTTTTGCAATTTTGGATTCCTGCCATTGCTTGTTATGAGATCATAAATTACTTTGCATTCCCTTATCCTGACAAAAACATTACATACTTGATGCTTTTTTTTTTTTTTTTTTTTTTAACTAATTGTGAATGCCATGTGCTGTCAGTGGCCCTCACTGCTCTTATTTATGTTTATCTAAATCATATTATTAACAATAAATACTTGCAGTCATATTTAGTCATTAAATTTTTAACTAAATTTATGTCTTCTAAGACAAAGAAGTATCTTGCTGTGTGTCAGTGCTGCTTGTATTTGGTCTGCAGAATATCCTTCTCTGCTGACCAGAAGGTCCCTGTGGCTCAGGCTGTACCCAAATGAAGGGAGCATGCAGTAGTATAAGAGTAAACATGCTGTCAGTTCTTATCAGATGTGTTGTTGAAGGATTTCTTTGCCATCCTACTTCTGTTGCTAAGTAGCAGAGCTTGTGTATAGCAAGTAACTGAGCAACTGCACCAGTTTGAAACAGGAAAGAGAGTCAGTACACAGAGAGAGGCCCGTGCAGTTGAAAAAAAAAAGAACAGCATGTGTGTCGGCGTCACCTGCTTCCTTATTGGCTAATAACCCATTCTGATAAATTCCACAAATCAAAATGTCCACATGTCAGCTGCAGTGATTAACTGTGAGAAAATGTTTGAGGTTTTTGGAAGGGAATGTTTTGCCTTACTTTATCTTGCTGAGTACATGTCCCTCCTTACTAACATTCATTGTGTTCAGAAACCAATGGGCATGTTTTTCTACCAGATATGTGATTTCATTGTAATTGTTCACACAAGTCCATACAAGACAAGGGTTTAATTTCAAGAATGACTGATCATTAAAGCATTAGCAAGGAGTTTTTTGTTTCTGTCTTGATTTCTTGAGGCAAAGCTTGAGTAGTATGTTTGTTTGTTTTTTTTATAGACACACACCCACAGGCATTCAAAGCCAAAAAGGCAGAGTAAATTGATACATAGACAATACATAATTTAATGAGATTAAGCTGCTTAATGATATCAGGACTGTGAAGACATGTCCAACAGCTGCTGTGTATGAGCTGTACACAAAGCTTCTCTGTGAGAAAATGTTCATCCACAGCAGCGGTTGTGTGACGTAAACGGCTTGAGTTGATCTCCAGTGACAGATATTATGTTACTTTGTGTGCTTGTCTAGTGCATTGTGCTGCCTTTTACATAAGCTAAGAAGGAAAAGAAGAGTTATACAGGTTGTGTGCCAAGTCACATTCCTCTGCCTTGGTTCAAAGGAGAGATGTCTTTGAGAACTGTTCATGTGAAAAGTGGGTTTTCCTTTTTGTGACCTGGATTGTTGCAACAGAGCTGCCTTGTTTTAGCAGATAATGGTATTCCTGTTAGTTAGGGGAAAAAGGCAAGCATTTTGTCAGTGGCAGCTAAGCTACAGTTTTTTTTTTACAACTGGCTGGTGTGGGCTTTTTACACAGTGCTGTGTGTATTATTCAGTATAATTTGAAAATAGTGCTTTGTAGGCCCCTGATTTTAAAACCTTTGAAGAACATTGAATTGTGTTATGTAAGAAAATGTGATTCACACATTGTCTCTTTTTAGGTAAACACTCAGAAAAGTCGCACACAATCCTCTAAAAACCTGGGAGGAAGACATCTCAGCACCTCAGGCTTACAGCAGATCAACAATTCCAGTTGGGCCCAGAGTCCCAATGGGCTGAAACCCAGTCGCAGTGACCCTGCATTGGTTCCACTGTCTTCTTTTGCTACTGTACCTGCACCTGTTATGGTGAGCAGCTCTTTTCATATTAAACTGCAATGTTACTGAATGTTACTATGTCATCATTTTGTGTGTGCTGCAGGTACTACAGGACCAAAATTAGAATTGTAAACTGCTATTTTCGTCTTTTGTTTTGTTTTGTTTTTAAGAGAGGCAAAGGGCAGACCATCCAGAATCGAGTAAGTAGATACAGCACCGTTTCTGTGACCGATGGCCAGACACGCAACATCCAGCCACCCTTTGCCCAGTCCAACACTGAGGGCAGGATGGGTACTATGAAAATATCAGCGTGAGTTCACATTAGCTTTAAAGTGCAGCTTATGATCTTTTAAATGGATCAGCACTGTTTCCTACATTAAATCCATGCTGTTGGTTGATCTTGTGGCACTAGATTAATAAAGTATCTTATTTCTGTATCTGCAGTGCAAACAGTGCAATGTCCGACTTGACTCTAAAGGAGGCTGTAGAGTTCCTCTCCTCCGCTGAAGAGAAATACCAGCAGTGTGGAGCAACCTTCATCCAACATGCCACCTTCAAAGAGGACCGCGCCAAACAGGAGGTTCAAACGCTCACACACAAATGCACTGTAAACTCTTCCTGTAGAGCCACACCCTCCAAACATTCATACATGCTATTTTCACATTTTATTTATTACATTTGTGAGATGATTGTTTTGCCTTTGCCTTAAGGGAAAAGGAGGAGAAAGAATTTGTTTTCACACTTGGCTTCTCTTTCTGTTTGTATCTTTCTTTGTTGTTAATCTATTGCTACGCCTCACATTCGTTCCCGCCGCATTTCTGTGTCGTAGGTTTTCCAGCTACGAGGCATCCCTGGTCTCGTCACGCTGCTGCGGAGCTCCAGCCCTGAGGTGAGCCAGGCTGCTGCTGGGGCTCTGAGGAACCTGGTGTTTAAGGACCAGAACAACAAGCTGGAGGTTCAGCACTGTGGTGGTATAGCTAAGGCCCTGCAGCTACTAAAGGAGACAGATTCTACTGAGACTCAGAAACAAATCACAGGTAGGATTTCTTTTTCAGGACTTTAAGTACTGTTGGACTCCTCAAATTATTGGGCAAAAGATAGACTTAGTGGACCTTTAATATAGAGGTAAATCAACAAAGATATGGCCTGTCCCTAAACCTGCGGGACAGGCATTTGCTTCTTACATACAGTCAACAGACATGTGGTTTACAACATTATGCAAATTTTTATTGTTTTAGGTAGAACATGATGGCCGCAAAATAAATACACCGAATAAAACTAGAATTACCACTTTGCAATTGTACGCCAACCAGTCAAATTCACAGGTATGGGACAGAAGTGAGGTCACCAACCTTTGACCACCAAAATCTAATCAGTTGAGTCTTGAGTCCAGTTGGACATTTGTGCCACATTTGAAGAAATTCCCTCACGGTGTTTTTGAGAGCTCTAGCGTCATACAGCCCGAGACATAATAACAGAACAGACCTAGCCACCAGGGTCAATACATACAGTATATTCATACACAGTATTTGTTGGTTTACTTTAAGTGATTTTTTTTTCTACGTTTCACAGCGAAAACAAGTATCTGCATTCTTTTTAAACATACAAAATGTCTTCCAAAATGAGATCTTACTCTTTTATCTACATTTAGAGAGTACAAGTAAAATTTGGAATGGTATGTAAAATCAAAATTAAAACTGAAAATAGTGATTTGTAAGTCATCTGTGTCCTGTATTACGTTGAAAACAATACAGCAGTGCATTATGTGATGTGATACCTAATAAGTTTTATTCTTTGTTCAGAATAAACACTCACTTCAATACTGATGCCCGCAAAAACATTCCAAAAAATGCTGGGATGGTATGGTGTTGCTGTTCCTTTTCACAACACATAAAAGACATTTAGGGACTGAGGACATGAAGTGATCAAGTGTGTCAAGTGCAAATTTTGTCCCATTCCTCCTGCAAACAAGTCTTAAGATGCACAACAGTCGTGGGTCTTTGTTGACGCAATTTGCGTTTCAAAATGCGCCACACATTCTCTATTGGGGACAGATCAGGACTACAGGCAGACCAGTCCAGCACTCGCAGCTTTTTCCTCCACAGCCTTGGTAATGTGAGCAGTGTGAGGCTCATAATGAAATATGCATGGGATCCTTGGAAAAGATGTCACCTTGAAGCCAGCATGTGTTGCTCCAAAATCTCTCTCTATTTTTCAGCATTAATGGAGCCATCACAGAAGTGTAAGTTACCTTTGCTACTACACTATACAACCCCAGAACGTGACAGACCCTGGCTTTGTTCCTGGTAACAATCTGGATGGTCCTTTTAGTCTTTGGTCTGGAGTACATGGCATCCATTTCTTCTAAAAAGACCTAAAATACTGATTCGTCTGACCACATTACGTTTCCACTGTGTGATGGTCCGTCCCAGATGCTTCAGAGCCCCAAGCAGTCGACTGTGCCTCTAGACTCTGTTGACATTTGGCTTCCTTTTGGCACAGCACAGTTGTAAGCACCATTCATAGATGCAACTGTATTGTAGTGCTTGACACAGGTGTGCCAAAGTAATCCTAAGCCCATGTGGTTATATCACTTGATGCAGTGCCGTCTGAGGGATCAGACAGCACGGTCATCCAGCTTAGCCGTGTGCCTTTGCCCTTTACACACTAAAATCCCTCCAGAGTCCTTGGATCTTTTAATTATGTTATGCACCATAAAGGCTGACATATCCTAATCCCTTCCTATCTTTCTTTGAGGAACATTGTTTTTCAACACAGTAATTTTTCACGCATATGTTGGCAAACTGGCGGTCCTTGGCCCATCTTTGCTCCTAAAGGGCTTGGCCTTTCCTGGATGCAACTTTTTGTGAAATCCAAATCATGATCGCAATAACCTGTTTCAAATCAAATAATCATTTTATTTATTGTTTTACCTCAAAATGCAACTGTCCCAACTTTTTTTGGAATGTTTTGCAGGCATCAGAATTCCACAAAGAATAAAACTGATGTGCTGCTCCAAGGGCAACTGCATTGTGCATGAATGAAATAGCTCAAGTGGAACTGGAGGATTTTCTCAATGCTTGTAACTATTCTTCTTACCACGTGCAGGCCTGCTGTGGAACTTGTCCTCTGCTGATGAGCTGAAGGAAGAACTTACAGCAACAGCTCTGCCAGCCCTGACTGAGAATGTGGTGGTGCCATTCACCTGCTGGTCAGATAACAGCACGCACAACAACATACACCCTGATGTCTTCTTCAACGCCACAGGGTGCCTGCGGTGAGAATATTTGTTTATGATCAGTACCTCCTTTTTCTGTTTGGTGAAAAAGGTCTCTATTCTTACTGGGATTCCCTTGGCTAAATATTGGTTAAACAAAAATAGAATAAATGTTTGATCTTTTATATTTTGAAGGCATATATCAGTCAAAAGACATTTACACTGGACGGATAGTTCCCTTCAGGTTTCATTAAACAGAGCAATATTTTAATGTCATAGAGGTTTTTGTTTAATCCTTGATTGATTTAATAGTCGATTACCAGGAAATAAATAACCATCCCTGGTAGGCCCGGGTTCGAGTCAGGGTTGCCTCAGGAAGGGCATCCGGCGTAAAACACGTGAAAAATGTCAACATGTGAGTCGTCAGTGTGACGATTCGCTGTGGCGACCCCTAAACGGGAAAAGTCGAAAGCAACTTTCTTTGCCAGGAAATAAATCAGAAAACATTCTAAGGTAATAAAAATAATAATTAGTCAGAACAGGGCTTTGATCCAACCTCTACTTCTTTGGAAATCTCACCACACGCCTACTCACACTGATCAGGAGTGCCTACAGGGTGAAAGTTGCTGGCACTGCTCTTATTATGTAGACATGTTTGTGTCTCCATGTGGTTCTAAATGAATGATTAAATTATGTGTGTAGGAACCTGAGCTGTGCAAAACAGAGGGAGAGGAGGGCAATGAGAGACTGCCATAACCTTATTGACTCCCTCATGATTTACATCCAGTCCTGCGTGGCAGAGGAAAACCCTGATGACAAGGTAACCTGAACACACAGTTACCTCTGTTTGCTCCATTAAAAGAGCATTTTCACAGAGACATACAAGTTATTTGTTAGACTAGACTGCCAGTGAAAGGTTTGGACACACTTTCCCATTCATATCAGTGTGTGTGTCAGAACATTCGACTGGAATTATAATTTTTATCTCCGAGACTTTTGTTTGGTCTTCCTGTAATACACCACTGCAGAAAATGTTTTTGTATTTACAGTTTTTCTCTGTTCCATGTTATTGTACATGGACTGTCTTTGGGTTTTGGGCAATTAATTGAGCCAATTGATGACTGATTTCTATAACTTGATACTTGATGTTATTTTAACAGTTGCTTCACTGGCCTTATACTCAAAGATTATTTGTATGTTTAGTAGGCCACAAGTTGTTTTTCAAGCTCACACATTTTTTTTTTTTTCATATTGTTACATCAACACTAAACTATGGATGTGTGAGCAGACGAGAAACGTTATGGTGTCATATTTTAGTTTACTCATAGTTTCTGTAGAATTTGTCTCTCATGTGTCTCACAGTATGTGTTTAGTCCAGATGCTAAGTATATCCTGAAGCACATGTACATATAATACAAGAACACATACACGCATGCTTCTCTTAAAAAGTATGTATGCACACTGGCATGCTCAAACACACACATCCATATGCAAGCACATATGAGCAGGTAAATACTGTGGGTGGAGTCAGCATGCGTATATATTTAGTGGATGGCTGTATGTGTATCCAGTAATTTATGAAAGTGTTGGGTGTGGGTGTGTACTGGATTCCATGTCTGTGCTAGAACTATTTACTGTATACAGGCTTCTTTTAATGAAGTACAGGGTGACTTGTGTTGTGTAGTGGTGTGTTTTCTGTGAGAGACAGAGGGAGAACACAGTGGCTCCAGAAAGTACCCAGACCCCATCACTTTTTGCACACTTCATTGTGTTGTAGATTGAACTTTAAACTGACAGAACTGCCATTTTTGACCATCAAAATCCACTCAAACCCCATAAATGAACTGCCATCTTTAGATCTCTCTGCAGGTGTTGTATGGGGTTTAAGTCTTGGGGTTTGGCTGAGCTCCTCAAACGCACTCAGAGACTTGTCCTGAAGCTGCTCCACTGTTGTCTTGGTTGTGTGCTTGTGGTTACTGTCGTGCTGAAAGATGAACCATCGCCCCGGTCTTAGGTCATGTGAGCTGTAGAGCAGGTTTTCTTCAAGGACCTTTATGTACTGGATGCATTCATCCTTCCCTCAGTTCTAACCATCCTCCTCATCCCTTCTGCTGAGAAGTACCCCTGGAGCATGGTGCTGCCACCATCATGCTTCCCTGTAGCCAGGTGATGAGTACTACCCGGTGTCTGCCTGACATAGTTTTTGAATTTTAGCTTTTGTCTCATCATACCAGAGAATTTTTTTTTCTTCATGCTCTTAGTCCTTTAAATGCCCTTGGGTAAATTCGAAGTGGGCTAGCCACTCTGTCATAACGGTCTGATTGATGGATTGCTGCTGAGATGGTTGCCTTACAGCAAAAAAAAAACTCTGTAAAGGACTTCTGAAGCTCAGTTATACTGACTGTTGGTTGGGCTTAAGAAATGGCTTTCTTTTACCCTTCCCCTGAACAATGCTTTGCAGGACATAGATTGTGAATTTTGGGACATACAACAGAAGTATTTTAACACCCTGTGATTTTGCAAGTTCTCCCACTTAGAAATCATGGAGGGGTCTGAAATTCACATTGTAGGTGCATTCCCACTCTGAGAGACAGAATCAAAAAAAATTTCAGGAAATCACATTGTATGATTTTTAAAGAATTTATTTGTCTTGCACTACTGAACATAAGTATTTGAACACCTGAGAAAATCAGTGTTAATATTTGGTACAGAAACCTTTCTTTGCAATTACAGAGGTCAAACTTTTTCTGTAGTTCTTGACCAGGTTTGCACACACTGCAACAGGGACTTTGGCCTACTCCTCCACACAGATCTCCTCCTCCACACAGATCTCCTCTAGATCTGTCAGGTTTCGGGGCTGTCGCTGAGCAGCGCAGAGTTTAAGCTCCCTCCAAAGATGTTCTATTGGATTGAGGTCTGGAGACTGGCTAGGCCACTCCAGAACCTTGATATGCCTCTTACGGAGCCACTCCTTGGTTATCCTGGTGTTATTGGGATGCAACTCATCCTTCTTTTTCCTCCAAACACGACGAGTGAAGTTTAGACCAAAAACTTCTACTTTGGTCTCATCTGACCACATGACTTTCTCCCATGCCTCCTCTGGATCATCCAGATGGTCTTTGGCAAACTTCAGACGGGCCTGGACATGTGATGACTTGAGCAGGGGAACCTTCCGTGCAATGCATGATTTGAAACCATGACGGCGTAGTGTTCTACCGACAGTGACCTTTGAAACTGTGGTCCCAGCTCTCTTCATGTCATTGACCAGCTCCTCCCTTGTAGTTCTGGGCTGATTCCTCACCTTTCTTATCATCAGTGATACCCCACGAGGTGAGATCTTGCATGGCGCCCCAGTCCGAGGGAGACTGACAGTCTCTTTAGCCT